GGTGGCTAAGCAAGACCACGTGTTGCTAGAAAAGAGCCAGCGCGCTGCCTATAATGCCCCAGGATCCGACGACCGGCTGAACAGAATCTTCAACCTGACAAGTTTCTGGCTTTTGAGGAACAAGCTCTTCAGACACAAAGCCTAGAAGCCCCCAGAGACGGGTCTTTGGGGCAAAGTGGGGCGTGTTTTTCCTACAGGGCCTCGCACATTAAGAAAATGAAAATTTAGGCTACAAACACCAATTCACACAACATGCTTAATACAGTTTGCCACTTAGGCCAGGATGTTATCTATAGGATCCAGCAAATGGGGGGATTACTCACTAAATCATGGTTTGATATGTGACACTAGCTCATACACCGATATCTGCGCTTAAGAGCCTGAGCTAAATAGGAAACGCTCTTTGGATAGCAAGATTTCCGAGAATAACACAAGGCAGGCGCAGCAAAATCTGCTGGAAGGACAAGAACCGACAGGATGACAGTTAGCACGCTGGAAATCAATGCTGTCAGGTTTTAAAGCTCACGGAGGTTGGTGGTATGTAGCAAGAAGATGGTATGTAGCAAGAAGAGTCCGCCTCATCGGCCTGAAACCTTGCACCAGCCACCATTTAGCCATGTCTTCATATGCAAACTCAGCCAATGAAACCAAATGTTTCCATACGATCCGCCCACTAAGCATGGAGGACTCTATGAAACGGAGGTTTAATGTCACTTGCCTAACAGAGAACTCTCTCCTATTTCAGAGACATTTTTCTCTCTCCTGCTGCATTCACAATTCAAGACCGAAGCCTTCTAATACCATTCATAGGCAATTTCCCCCCCCCCCAAATCCACAGGATGTTTATCTTATTAAAGTTATTCATCTAAGCTTTTACAGCACTGAAAGCAAAAAGACCTATTTACACAGGTCTCTAGTATGAAAAAATCTATTAGACATATGGCAATTTTTAGCAAAAAGTTCAGTTTATGATGTGAAGCTTCCAGAAAAAAAGATTTGTAACTGATGTTTGTTTGGGTTTTTTGGAACAAATTCCTGATTTTGAAAATTTGAAACTCTAGTCATTCTGGATAGGATAGGATAGGATAGGAGTTGGAATGGACCTTGGAGGTCTTCTAGTCCAGTCCCCCCCCCCCCGCTCAGGTAGGAAACCCTATACCATTTCAGACAGATGGTTGTCCAATCTCTTCTTCAAAACCTCCAGTGTCAGAGCATTTACAGCCTCTGGAGGCAGGTTGTTCCACTGATTAATTGTTGTAACTGTCAGGAAGTTTCTCCTTAGTTCCAGGTTGTTTCTCTCCTTGGTGAGTTTCCATCTTTTGCTTCTTGTTCTGCCCACAGGTGCTCTGGAGCTTGACTCCCTCTTCAAAGCACCTGAAGATTGTCATGCAATATCAGAAGCCATAACACTTCCACAAATACAACCAAAAATATGGATCAGATATGTAGACAACATCTTCACCATAATAAAAAAGACCCACAGAACCATCAAAAATATATTTAAAGGAAAGAACCATCAAAATCTCTGAAATAGCACGAAAATAATTCCTTGTTTCAGTAAAATATGCATGCAACGCACAGACCCCCTTAATCCCAAATTTGGACCAGAAGGGAAACAAAGATGAATTCCTATAAAAGGAAGAATCACATGAAATGACGAATTCTTACAAAAGGAAGAATCACATGAAATATGCAAGAATAATCTGCATTTGGAAAGATTCCCTGACACCCAGATGTCAAAGAATATCCTTAAGGGCATATTCTAGTCATGGGAGAAGGAAGTTGGCCTTAGATTTAAGACAATCATCCAACTTCGAAATGCTAAGCTGGAGAAGACCAGAAAAAGAAATGTAAGACTTTTGCTTCAAAAAGTTTGCTACTTTTTTAGAAATAGGCAACCAGCATCATTAGGAATCAGCATGAGAATTTCAATTTGCAGTTGGCTGTGGGCATCAAGTGTCCTCATTTTTTTTATTTATCTGGGCAAGTTGTGGCATTGGATGTGTCCTGCTTTCAGACATGAGATCAGGGGTCTTCCAACTTGGCCCTTTTATGACTTGTGGACGTCAACTCCCAGAATTCCTCAGCCAGGCATCCACTGCCTCCTCCGATGCCAATTTTATTTTATTTGGAAGAAGCACTTCGGACTTTGCACAAGAGCTGCAGCTGCCTGTTATTCATTAAAGCTGCTTCCCCTCGGTCAAGATTCTGGGTCGGCTCTTTAGCCCTGGATTCTTCAAAGCCACCTTGCTCAGGCTGAGCCCCTTTAAGATGGGTGGACTTCAACTCCCGTGCAGACCCTCCCTCACCCCTGGGCATCTCCCTCCTTCCCTCCCTCCCTCCCTCCCCATCTTTTAGTCATAGCCTGTATTTTTGCTGATTGTATTGTATTGAATTGTACCACATTGTATCATTATTTGATGTATTTATGTATTTTATAGAGCCCTGGTGGCACAGTGCTTAGAATGCAGTATTGCAGGCTAATTCTGCATTCCCACCGCCAGGAGTTCGATCCTGACCGGCTCAAGGTTGACTCAGGCTAGAAACTGGGAGATTGTGAATTTTAGTCCCACATTAGGCAGAAAGCCAGCTGGGTGTTCTTGAGCCAGTCACTTTCTCTCAGCCCTAGGAAGGAGGCAATGGCAAACCACTTCTGAAAAGCCTTGCCAAGAGAACTGCAAACAAACAAATTGGGGGAGGGGGGAGAGATGGTAACCCTTAATGAACTTTTGCTGAACAGGACTGACAAAAAGGTTTTAAGGATTTGTTTATAGGTGAACACATGAGTCGTGGGAAGAAGACGAGGTGATGTTACTAAAATTGTACTTTTTGTGATGTGAGGTCCCATAGATTGGGCCTCCTTCAGGTCCCGTCGGCCAGACAATGTCGGCTGGCGGGCCCTCGGGGAAGGGCCTTTTCCGTGGTGGCTCCGACCTGGTGGAACCAACTTCCCCCCGAGGTTCGAACTACTCCCACCCTGCCGGCCTTTAAGAAGGCTGTTAAAACCCTCCTGTTCCGGCAGGCCTGGGGCTGATGTCCCCGGGGGGCCGGGATATGACCGGACTCGCAGTATGATCGCAGTATGATTGTATTATTTTATTATTTTATTGTTTTTTGACTGTTTTTTTAACTTTGTACGCCGCCCTGAGTCCTTCGGGATTGGGCGGCATATAAATATTAAAAATAAATAAATAAATAAATAAATATATATATATTTTTCCTTTATTACTATACTTAGTTTTTCTTCCTTCTCTATTTTTCTGCACTTTCTTGTTTTCTTTTTATTCTTTTCTTTCTTTTTTAGTTTGTATTTGTTTTTATCCTTTTAATTGTAATATTTAACACACTTAAAAAAACCTGGGTGGCAAGCCAGCAATGCAAAACCACTAACATTTTGCTGCCGCCCAGCGGCTACTCAGGTACGGTACACCTCAGCCTGCCACGGTTTGGAGCCAGCTAAAACGGCCTCAGGTGGAGGTCCCCAGGATCCGATCCGGCGGGGAAAAGAGCAAGGCTTGATTTTGCCAAGCTGAAAAAGGGAACTGCAATGTTTTTTCATAAATTTATTGATACACTTTAACAAGTTATGGTTTGAATGATTCATTATTCTGGGATATGAGCTAAATTAGAGCTCAGAGCTGGAGTACATACACACACACACACACACACACACACACACACACAGAGTGCTGTGCAAAAGTCTTAGGCCACTGTTAGAACTGTTGTTGTAGCAACCATATAATGACCGTATATAATTATGTCTTCAGTCTCCTTATAATACAAAAAATCAAACAGCTTCCCTACTAGCCCAAGTGGCCAGGCTGCAGGGTGACCCCCCCACACACAGCAGAAACCGGAAGCGAAGCCCCACCTGCTGCCCTGCTAAGGCCTGGTTGTGCCCCGTGATTTCACATGCCTCAAAGGCCGCTCTGGCCCCCTCCTCCCCTCCCCACAAGCCCCCCACCTCTCTCCTGGCATTGATGAAGTTGCCTAGTTGGGTCATGAAATCAAGAAAACCACGCAGCTCAGAGACCACCCAGGACCACCTCCTTCTTCTCCACGCCGCAAACCCCACTTCCTTCCAGCACTGAGGATGTTACCTAGTTGGGTCATGAAACATCTGCAAGGAAACCACCCAGCTCACAGAGGACCAGGTGGGTGCCAGGCAGGCTTTCGTTTTGCACGGGTCGTGTGAATGCAATTCCCCGGAAGGCCCGCTAAGAAGAGCCGCTTTCCACATCCCGGGGGGGGGGAGGAAGGGGGGGGCTCCGGGTCTGCATCTGTCTTTTTTTGCCAAAAGAGGCAAGTGGGGGGGAGGCGAAGACTTTGCCCCAGCCAGAAGGGCCTCTCCAAGGCCTCTTCTGGCTTGGGCAAAAGTCCTCGCGCCACCGATCAGAGGGCGCGGCGTCCCCTGCCTGCGCAGGAGGGGACTGGACTAGATGCCCTCGGCGGTCCCTTCCGGCGCTGCCACCCGGTGGCCGAACCAAGTGCGCGCGTGCGCGTGTGTCGCCCTCCACGCAGAGCCCGAGGGGAACCGAGACCGGCCCCTCCACCGGGACGCCACCGCTCGGGTGGGGGGGCGCTTTCCCCCCGCCCGCCGCCCTCCCGGCCCCGCCGCCCCAGCGCGCGAAGGAGGATCCGGGCGACGCCGCCGCCGCCGCCGCCTTCCCCGCCGGGCCAGGCCGCGCAGAGGAGCCGAGCGGGTCCCCCGGGCGGGCGCAGCGGGAGGAGGCGGGGCCGGTCGCGCGCTTACCTGAGGCGGCCCGGCTCGTCCCGCAGCTTCGGCCTCTTGGCGCGCGGAACCTCCGACGCTGCCGCCCTCCTCATGGCCGGCTGCTGGGGGCGGGGCGAAGGGGGCGGGGCGGAGGAGGCCCAGGCGCGGCGTGTCCCGCGAGGTCTCCGGCGGAGGAGGAGGGGCAGGGGCGGCAGAGCCCGGGGCTTTCCCTGCGGCGAGGCCGGCCGCCCTGCCCTCCTCCTCGGGGCGGCCGGCGTGGCCGGGGGGGCGGGGACGGGGCGGGGTCCGCCGCCATCTTGGGCCGCGTCGCTGCCCTCTCCTCCCCCTCCTCCTGCTGGTCGGCCGGTCGGTCTCCTCGCCGGGCGGGCGCGGCTGTCGCGGGGAAGGTAACCGGCGAGGTCCCCTGAGCGTCTCCGGGCAGAGTCCGGCGGGAGGGCTCGGGCCGCCCTCGGAGGGCCGCGGGGGGGGGCGTCCGGGCGCACGGCGAGGCTCCCCGGTGTGTGGAGGGAGGGGCGAGACCTCTCGCGGCCTCGGAGGGCGCCGCCACGGGCCGCTTCCCGAGTGGAGCCGGGCGGGGAGGGAAGCGAGGCCGGCTGCCCTTCCGAGAAGGCGCGGCTGTGAACCGGGGCCAGACCGGGGCCAAAGGGCGAGGCGTGGCAGGCGGGGGTGGGTGCGGGGGGGGCCCGGGGGCCTGCACTCCAGGTTGCAGCTGGGCTGCTCCGCCCGAACCGTTTCGGGCCTGGAGAGATGGAAAAGCTCAGCCGACTTAAGCTGTTTCCGTGGGAAGCCAGCATCGGGCGGTCCCGGGGCTGCTGTGGGGGCCCCGGTGGCCTCTCTAACCACGATGGCCGTTTGCAGCCACGTTGGGATCGGAAACCTCCCTGTGGGTCTCGAAGGAGGCAGTTCCAGAGGGGGAAAATCCACCAGATCAATTTTACCCAGTATGGGTAAAACGCTTCTAGGTCAATTTAAATTTCCTATTGTAATTGGGTAATGTGGGGGGGGGGGTGTTACCCAAAGAAAAAAGGATTCCCCCCCCCCCCCGGTTTTGGATAATCTACCCAGATTTGGGAAGGGCTGGTCTCTAAGCCAAAGACTGCCCTTGGCCTGGCAGGACAGGCAACCCCACAATTTGGACCCAGGAGTTTCTAGATCCATTTTCCTAAACCAGGATGTCAATATCCAGGCAGAAATCTCTGTTAATGTTAAGTCCCTCATAATGATGGGCAGTAATAAAATGTGCATGATGAGCCACACAACCCAAGTGTCTCTTCCTGAGTATCTGTTACCTCTTCTGCACAACTGGGAAATGAAATGTGATCACTAAGAAATTGGGAGGCAGGTTTAGCCCTGCCCCCCCCCCCCTAAAAGCTCAGTTGTTGCACTGGGATAGGCTTCCCGTTTGCTTAAGGAATTTTGTTTTGATAAATGCCTGAAAAGATAAAGCAAACTGCTGTCTCCTGGATCCTTGCTGGCTGTGGAAGGCCTTGTCACATGAAGCTTATCCTAGCTTCTCACCAAACATGAATTGGCATGATAGGGGAACTGGGACATTGTGTACTTGTGTCTGTACTTTTGATTTGGAGTGCATCAGGACAAGGAAAAAGTAACCCCCTCTCCTGGACTTTTCACAGGGGTGGGGACACATCAAGCTCAAGCAGTGTGCTATGAGGAGGTGAATGTTGGACCTTGGAAAGTCCCAGCTATTCTATGTACAAGGGGCCAGAGAGCCTTATCCAACATAGTTACAGTAATCTGTTCAGTCATTATTAGCTTCCCTCTTGGTTTGGAAAAGCCGTGATGGCTGGGTTCACACAGTCTGAGCCACAATCAGGCCATCCCTAAAATAGGGTTTAACATGAATTTCTACGTCAAGTTTTGTTTTTTCAGCAGACTCTGTAAGAGAAAGGAAGTGAACACTACAAGTCTGAGACTAGAACTACAATCTGCTTCTCTGGATGGAGGAGGGTGTCACCTAGACAAGCAGGAGTGATGCTTCTCTCCACTCTCAATTCATTTCTAATTGTGGTTGGGATCTAACTAGAAGCTAAATGCATGACATCTGGCAGGAGGTTTTCTTACACAGAAGCACACCGCCGTATCATTGTATTAAAGATCATATTTGTTTTCATATGCTGAGTTATGCAGGATCAAAGATCCAATGATACCAAATCCTGCTACGGCCATAAAGTAGTGATCTGAGGTATAGAGAAGTCTTCCTGGTTTTTTTCCTCATGGAATTCATCAAAATCTACTTCGAACTAGAAAAGTTGGGGTCCTACTTTTGCTAGCACGATAGCTGAAAAGTATAGGTTCCCAGGGTTTTTGCACAGACCACGGCTAACCCAGCGATAAAACGATAACTAACCATGAATCGCTGTTGCCCAAAAGAATGTTTCCGAATATGTCATACGGATTTTTACAGAGAACCTCTCTCAAATGGTCTTTGAAAGGCAGTTGATACTTATATCTATTAGTTATACAAATAAGATCCCTGATCCAGTTAATCTGTGATGTCCTGGTGCAAGTCATCTTCCATTTTCCAAAGTCATTGTAATAAAGCACGGGGTGAGAGCTCTCCCGAAGCACAAGGCTGTTTGATTTTCCACTAATGCACATAGCGCACCTGTGTCCTCCCAACAGAAAATGATCCACAGCCTGTTTCTGATCAATTCTTCCGGGGACATATTCTTGGAGAAGCACTGGAAGAGTGTTGTCTGCCAGTCTGTGTGCGACTATTTCTTCGAAGCTCAGGAAAGAGCAGCCGACGTGGAGAATGTGCCCCCCGTCATCCCCACCCCTCACCACTTCCTCATCAGCATCTACCGAGACAAAATCTTCTTTGTGTCTGTCATACAGACGGAAGTGCCACCTCTCTTCGTCATTGAGTTCCTCCATCGCGTAGCAGATACTTTCCAGGTTGGTCTGCAGGACAGCTGGGTGGATTTAGGGGAGAAACGTGCTTCCGGTTCGTATTTGAAAACTCTGGATGATTTCCACATATCCACCAGTCGTAGTGGTTAGGCTGTTTTTTTTTTTTTTCCTGAATAAGATACCTGAGTTTTAAGAACATGTTCCACAAAATTGTAATTATGGACACACAGAACGGCAGAAATTAGTTGGAACAAATGAACGACTACTCATATTTAGAAAAGAGGTCATTAGGAGTTTGGGATTTGTAACTAATTTTAAGCACTGCAATAGGATTTCCTACTACAACTTGAAGTTTCCGGAATGGAACATTTTATCTATAACTTTGTCTTGAGGAACTCGGATTTCATTCTGCCTTGTTGGCAGCAGATATCTCCAGAATGAGGGCGAGAGGCGTTCGGATTGCCTAACCCAGTCTTGCTGTCCTATTATAAGCCTCTGGCTTCCCTTCTTGGCAGCAGGGGAAACGCCAGCCACGAGGAAGGAGCAGGAGTGGTGGAAGGTTGGGGACTTTCTTATCTTCTGCTCCATACAGGCAGCCTGATTCAACCCCACGTTTTCAGTTTTTCCAAAGTGGAATTTGCCAACCTCACAAAGAATCGGTGTTTTAGGGTTAGATTTCTTCCTCCAGCAAAACGTGTCAAATTATTTTAGTGGTATTTGCTGAGCGTAAACCAAAACAGATTTCAGGTCTATTTAGGGAGGTAGAATTTTTTTCACTAAAATTGTTTTCTTTCAAAGCTGCATTACTGAATGCTCCGAGAGTGACATTAGCAGGTAGACATAGGCCTCTGTGTGCAATCAGAGGAGGTTGAATGGTGTCCATTGTGTTTATGCCGTCTTAATTTTTAAAAGTTTTGAGCAACTTTAGGCTTAGCCAGACAATACGATGGAACCTGCGAGTATCCCCATAGCTACAGGTAGCTATAGACTCCTACTTAACAGCAGTCTTCTGCAGCATTGGGGAGAGGGCTTGTGTAACCATCAGGATATATACAATTTCTATCCATGGAAGCTGGGTCTCTACCGAACACGTGTCCAAAATAATTACATGCTTCACCTTCTGATGAAGAGCCCTGGGGGGGGGGGAATCCATACTGTCTGAATAGATGAAAGGATGTTAAATTACAGGAGCTGTCTTTCTGGCGGAAGCCTGTTTTTTTTTTTTTTTAAGTGCAGGTAGAGTTATTAACTGGAATAAACTACCTTCTTTGTATTCTTTGTGGATTTAGGATTACTTTGGAGAATGTTCCGAAACTGCCATTAAAGACAATGTTGTTATTGTGTACGAGCTTCTTGAAGAGATGCTGGACAACGGTTTCCCCCTGGCCACGGAATCCAATATACTGAAGGAGCTCATTAAACCCCCCACCATCCTGCGCTCAGTGGTCAATTCCATCACAGGTACGGCTCCTGCCTCGTTTATTAAATCTGTATGTCACCCGTCTCCCCAATAGGGGGCGACTCTGGCTGGATTGCAGGACGTAACAGTCTGGTAATTGAACAGGGGTGTGTGAACTTGCACTTTCCAAATGGCGGGAGGTCTTTGAGGGCCAGTTGTGGATTTGTCCAGAGCTCATTGACCTTTGTTCAGATTAACCGATGACCTAAGGAGTTCCTCCCCCCTTATACTTTTACTCCATGAGTGCTGAGTTTATTTACAACCTTCCAGAGAGGCCGTGCAGAGTCTACTTTGGAAAGCAGGGCCTGCTGGCTATTTGATATCCTCAGATACCTCTGAAAAAGCGACGGGCCTTCCTTTTCCAAAGCTCTATTGGTGGATCTTTAATATTGGTGGCTGTTCTTCTGTATTGGGAGCACTTTGTCCAGCTGTTCCCCTGCTCCTACTGATCCGCAATATCGTCAGCTCAAAGAGGCACTGGAACGCCCGTGGAAGATACGCTGCTCCTGAACTCATCCCGAGGGGTGCAGGAGAAGACCTGCCTTAAGAACGGCACTGGAAGAGCTCACCTCTCCTGCTTAACCAATAGGCCATCAGAAGACATTAATGCCATGTGGTGTTCTGTCTGAACCAAGCCATCTGTTTGGTGCTAGTTCTGGATAGTCACCGTGTAATTTTCCTTGTCTGTTTCTACATTCCAAACTAGGTACTTACGCCTGCAACAGATACACGTTTATCAGTCCCCTTGTCTCCTTCCCCCCAGTACTAGAGCAGAAAAAGTCAGCATTTTTATTTGCAGTTTTTTCTGGTTAGGAGGCAATTTTTTCTAGCCAGCTGCTGCTGCCGCTGCCTTTTTTTAACGGAGCGTATGTTTCTTACGGACTGTTTCTTTGTCTTCCCAAGGCAGCAGCAATGTGGGGGACACTCTTCCAACCGGCCAGCTGTCCAACATTCCCTGGCGAAGGGCAGGAGTGAAGTACACAAATAACGAGGCCTACTTTGATGTGATTGAAGAAATTGATGCCATCATAGACAAATCTGGTAAAGGGCTCTGCAGACGTAGCTGTGAAAGATGGGAGGGAGCCATACCTGTTAAGCTTTGCGTATGGGAAAGGAAAATATATTGCAACGTACCGTTTTTAATAAATCTGGGAATTTCTTAGTAAAACCTGAATGGGTTTTCTCAGCTGGACTCAAAACACAGAGAGCAAAGCAGCGGTTCTTAAAGTAGGGTAATTTGGACATATCCTGGGGTTGGGTGGGTAACAGGGCAATTTGTAATTGTATATGTGTCATTTGAGAATCCAGTTTGAAATTGTCCCTGGAGTGTGAACAACCTAGTCTGAGCTTGTTTGGTGGGGCCCCGTATGGCCCCCGAGATAGAGAAAAGGGGTGCTGGGGTCAAATGGTTTGAAGATGGCTGCAGTGAAGGGCTAAGGCAAAAAAAAAAGGAACGGTTGTCCTAAGGAAGGCCAGTTGGGGAATTATATTGTCCTTGACTCGGGGAACTTGGGGCGCAGGTCATTCACGGCAAAGAAATTTGCAAAGGGCAGCCAACTTCCGTGGTGGCCCGAGATTCTGGAACGTTCTGCCCATTCAGGGGAGAAGAAGGCATTTTTATTTTCCAGGACAGAAATAAAAGTTAATACAGGATTTATACAGAGTTAGATAAACTAAATACAAAATTTACTTAACAGAATTGTGTCTATAGGAAGGGTTTGGAAAGAGTTGCGTTGGCTGTTGCGGTTCATCCCCTGACCGAGTTCAGCAATTCAATTAACACGAAGACCACGGGCTCTTCCCCCACCCCCACCCCACCCCCGGTCTGAAATCGTGCAAATCACAGACTTCTCACCTTTATTGTTTTTTTAAATAACTCAAGGCAGCAAACACACTGAATGCCCCTTCCTCGTCCTATTTTCCCTACCACAATAATCCTGCGAGGTAGAATGGGCTGAGGGAGGGACTGGCCCAAAGTCACCCAGCCGGCTTTCACGCCTAGGGTGGGACTAGAACTCACCGTCTCCCGGTTTCTAGGACAGCACCCTAACCCCGTGACCAAATAACCTCTCCTTTATTCCCGCAGGCTCCACGGTCTTTGCCGAAATCCAGGGGGTCATTGATGCTTGCGTCAAGCTCTCGGGAATGCCGGATCTTTCCCTTTCCTTCATGGTAAATGGAGTTTTGCACCGTTGACCCGGGGAAAGCGCCCTTGGGGGGCTCCCTAGCCGAGTCTTCCTAGGGGCCAGAAAGCAGAAGGTTTTGCTTCGCTTCCATTCCTGCATAAATTTCTCCACCCCGGTGCAGGATTTCAAAAATGCTCCCCATTTTTGATCTGCTTAGCGAGCAGCTCCTGGGGATTCTCCCCCTTTCTTTGGCTTCCCTTGACAGGTCTGCGGCCACTGGAGCCTGCATGCTGGGAGGCCCCTCAGTCAGGCGGCTGCAGCCTTTGGGAGGGGAAAGGGGTTGGCAGGGGAATAGCCCCCCCCCCTTGTCACTGAGTGGGTCTGGCTGGCTCTGGTTTGTCTAGTGATGATGCGGTTGTCCCTTAGGGGCCTCCTGTGTCCTCTCCCAAAGCAAACTGGGCCTCTCTTCGGAGGGAGGGAGGGAAGGAGGCCTTCAGAATCCTTGGTGGGGCCTCTGCCTCTTGGTTAGGGACCAAGCTTAGCTGAAGATGCCCCCCCCCCCTCAAGCTCTGCTACAAAAAAACGCCCGTCTGTTTTTCTCAAGGGGAAAAAGAAAGGGCCACAGAGGGGAGCCTGTTCAGTCCCCCTCCTTTCACGGAAGGCCTCTGATTCCAGAAATCAAACCGGCCTCATTTGACAAGCAGAGCAGAAGCCCCCGTCCTCCCCCTCTCTCTCCTCCAAAACCAGGGTCCTTGTTCAGGGTGGTGCGACTTTATTGTGGGAGAAACCACAAAGAATAAACCCTGAAACAGGCCTTCGTCGCACTGCACTGGAGTTGTGTCTTGCCTGCATCAGAAGGAAACCAGAGGTTGCCACTAAGCAAAATTTGTATATCTCGTTGGACAGAGACCAGCGCTGCGGGTGCCACCGAGGTCATAAAATGGCTTTTAATATGTGATAGGAAGGAAGCCTTGAAGGATGGTCCCTTATAATGCCTGGACAAACGGGTCCCAAAGGTGCAACTGGACTTTTTGTTTTTCCTCGAAGATGTTTCACTTCTCATCCAAGAAGCTTCTTCCATTCTGGAGGGAAAACAAACAGCCCAGCTGCCTTTAGAAAAAGCACCTTTGGGGCAACCGTGATCTGAATGAGGGAGAATCTCCACGGAGCCCTGACTGGGGGGGGGGGGGGAGGCAGAGTTTCAGACCTGGGACTGGGTGCAAAGACAAACAGCTGCCAACGTCAGTCTTCTTTCAGCTCATTTGTTGTCGTGATCTGGCTCGGAGGAAACGTGGGGAACAGGGCAGGGCTGATTATGAGAGAGAGAAGGAGAGACGTGAGTTTCTTTGTGAGTGAGCTCCAGAGGCCTCAGTCTCCCTGAGTTACACCAATGTAAGGAGGCAAAAGGGACTCTCCTACTGCCATCGCCTTCTTTCTCTCGCCCTGGGTGGAGAATCCTGTGCCGTATTCGAAGTCTCTTTCTCAGAAATGAACTCGGTTGGTTGATTTGTGTGTGTGTGTGGGGGGGGGCTTCTGCTTGGGCTCCGTCGGAGGAAGAAATTCCTTCTGCACTTCAGTCCTTGAGATGGCCGGCACAGGGTGGGGGGGGGGAGACCAGCAGGGGCAGCCTCCTGATGTCTGGCTTCCCACGTACTCTGTTTCATTCTGTCCCAAAACACTAAATTGTGGAGAGAGAGAGAGTTTCGCTTTGGCTTCCTGCAGAATCCGAGGCTCCTGGACGATGTGAGCTTCCACCCTTGCATTCGGTTCAAGCGCTGGGAATCCGAGAGGCTCCTTTCCTTCATTCCTCCCGATGGGAACTTCAGGCTGATTTCCTACAAAGTCAGCTCTCAGAAGTAAGTTTGTTGGGAGAGCCAGATGTACGGGGAGAGCCCCCTTAAGGGTCAGGGGGGTCCCTGGGAAAAGGAAGAAGGAACGGAAGCTGCCTGGCTGGGGACGCTGCGTGTTTGCCCAGCGTGGCTTATCTGATTTAGGACACGATTGGGTGGTTTGGACCAGTCCAGGCCTGCCTTGTGGTGTCTGGGTGGAGATAGATAGATAGATAGATAGATAGATAGATAGATAGATAGATAGATAGATAGATAGATAGATAGATAGATAGATAGATAGATAGATGAATAGCAGCTTTGTCTTCAGTTGTGTCTTATCGCGTTCCTGTTATATTCTGCTCAAGCAGAAAAACAGAAGAGTTGCTAAGGTTTTGCCCTGCATCGGCTACAGGCAGCCCAGCGGCCCTTTCTTTTCCCTTCAGGCCTGTCTGGGGGCTACAGGATCGGAGGCTTTGCCCCAGACACCCTTCCGAGGAACAAAGAAAAGAAAAGGGCAGTTTTTTGGGGGGGAGGGGGGATTGCAGGTCTTCATGTTTGGTTCCTTGGATCTTCTCTGGGCTTCGTGATAGGCAGGCTGGGCCGGTTCCGTCTGGTGACTTTGGGAAGGAGGGATGCAGGAGGAGCAGGCCGACTCCACCCAACTCCTAGTGAGCTGGGGAGTTAGGGGGAGCCCATGAGTTAAGGAACCCTCTAATTGCGCACTACTCTCCCGTAACTCCAGCACATGCATCCATTTTGAAAAATGATTAGAACAGAACGGAATAGAATCACAGAGTTGGAAGGGACCTTGGAGGTCATCCAGTCCAACCCCCTTGCTCAAGCAGGAAACCCTATACCATCTCAGACAAGTGACTGTCCAGTCTCTTCTTAAAAGCCTCCAGTGATGGAGTGCCCACTATTTCTGGTGGCAAGCTGTTCCACTGGTTAATTGTCCTCACTGTCAGGAAGTTTCTCCTTAATTCCAGGCTGCTTCTCTCATTGGTCAGTTTCCAGCCGTTGTTTCTTGTTCTGCCTTTTGGTGCTTTGGAGGATCGCTTGTTAGTTAGTGTAAGATGCTTCCTGAATAATTAGTGTCTCCTTCTTCTTGCTTCAGCTTGGTGGCCATTCCAGTGTACGTGAAACATGCCATTACTTTCAAAGAGAATTCATCTCCTGGGAGATTTGATGTCACCATCGGGCCTAAACAGAACATGGGGAAGACTGTGGAAGGAGTCATCGTGACTGTTCACATGCCCAAGGCTGTACTCAACATGAACCTGATGCCCACGCAAGGCAACTACACATTTGATCCCGTCACTAAGGCGAGTTCTGTCCTCCAAACTAGGCATCTCGGCTTGAGTTCCCAAACTCTTCCCGTGGATACGGTGGTGTCGGCTGAGGGCTGCCTTTATTCAGATTAGGCCCTCGTGGGATCCCTTGGCTTGTAAGCATTGAGCGCTTTGGCACCGGAGACAAGCTTCTTGTGGGTCCAATCACACTTGGCCAATAAAGAATTCCTGTTCTATTCAGATCTTGAAGAGGTCGAAATATAACTGACATTTGTCCTTGTGAGGTCTACTGTGAGATTGGTGAGGGGGGGAGGGAGAGAGAGTGAGAGAGAATGGTTTCAAAACACTGTATAAATATTTTTGATGATTGTTTAGGTGTTAACCTGGGATGTGGGCAAAATCATCCCTCAGAAGCTGCCAGCTCTTAAGGGGATGGTGAATTTACAGTCTGGAGCTCCAAAGCCAGAGGAGAACCCAAGTTTGAACATCCAATTCAAGATCCAGCAACTGGCTATTTCAGGTAAGACGGGCTTCCCACTCAGCATAGGGAGACTTTGATATAAATTCTGTAGTGGCCGATTTAACATAATAAATAAGATTATATGATGCCAACATACCAAATTCCAGAGCTGTTTTATACACTGAAACGTAATTGGAAGGAGGTTCAGAATAGCCTTAACTGCCAGCCCAGCTGTTCCCCACATGCAGGGTTGTTTGATTCTGTGCATGCATGGATAAATGCCCCCACCCGTTGCAAACACAAATCCTTTTATTTCTTGCCAATATTTGGTTTGCACGGAACCTGCAACAGAACGTTGCAGTAGGCCCAGCCTTTGTAGAGTTTTCCAGATAGACTATCGAGTATCGAAACGTCCAAGGTGAGGTTGGACTTGCCTTTCTGGGATGTGTGTGAGGAGAAATGAGGCGGCCGTCAGCAGCCGGGCTTGCTCGAACTCACGCACCGAGGAGGCAGGGAAGTCCTTGGTGGCCTTGGGATTAAACTTGATGTTCTCAGTGTCCTCTTCAGCTGTCGGAGCCTCCAGGTCTTCCTCTAGGCCTGAAGTTTTCCAGCATGATGGTTTTCCTTTTTATTTTTTTTTGCAGTCAACATTTTGTGGCTGTTTAAGGTTGATGATCCAGCTTAACCTTCCCTGGGAAAACATTGCTGTACTCCCCATCAAGGGCTAGTAGGGGAACCGAAAGAGCTTCATTCCACAGTCACAGTTCTCCCGTGATTTACTGAAATACACTGTTCAGATACCTCTTCATTATTTGTTTCAGGACTGAAAGTAAACCGCCTTGACATGTATGGAGAAAAATACAAACCATTCAAAGGTGTGAAGTACATCACAAAGGCCGGGAAGTTCCAAGTACGAACATGAAGCTTAAGAACTCTGCTTTTCTGGCAGATGGTTGTGCGTCTGTGTGTGTGTGTGTGTGTGTGCGCGCGCGTGCACGCGTTGTGTTCCAGCCTCGGAGAAAAATGAGCATCAGTTACCTAAATTCCTCTTCCATGCCAATTTCAGCCATTCCTCTGAAGATGCCCAGTCCACCCAGTACCGATTTCCACCAGTGCAGCTGCTCTTTCTCTACCTGGCTTTCGCGGAGGAGCGTTCTGGTAAGAGCGTTCTGGTGGGTTTCGGCTTGTAGCTACCGAGCCTGGGCTGCCTTTTGGGACACTGCCAGGCAAAGCGCCAAAGCACAAGAAGGAAGAGCCTGAACTGGAGAGAGGAAGCCGGCCTGACGCGGGGAAAGAAAGACGCAGCCTTGCCGGCTGTTTCTGAAAGTAGATCTCTGGGAAAGCCCTGCTCCCTCTCCACGGACCGACTTTTTAGTGGAACCAAAAAAAAAAAGCCTTTTTCTGCAGGATTTATATCACCCTGCCTTTTTTGGGTCAGAAATGCCTTATCAGCTTGAGAATTCAGCAGACAATCTGTAGCCAAGTGTTAAAAGATTTTTTTCTCTCCACAATTTGCTTTGGAAATGAATGAATGAATGAATGGGGCACGGAGCCCGATTGGTTTCAGTTACCTCTGCATTGCGGATGTCCAACCTCTTGCACCTTTCATGCCTCCCAAGTAGCTCAGCTGGGGTGCTGGCGCTGCCTGCCTCTGATGAAATAAAAGGCCACAGCTGAACCAGCTCCACTTGGGCAACTTAATTTTCCGACTCAGCCACGTGGCCCAGGGTCACCAGAGAGAGATGGAAATGTTGGTGGCAAGAGCAGCCTCGTCGCCCTCTTTCAGATCGGTTGCAGGGAGGAATCTGGGTGAAGCGTAACACAAGAGGTGAAGGGAAAGGCAGCGCTCCTTGTTGATCCAAATGATTTATGGAAAAGCCACCCAGTTATAAAGAAAATGCTCTTATTGATTGTATTCATATCATTCTTTGTGAGGTCATTGTGTCACCCCAGCAATGATGCGTGACCCAAATTTCCCAGGTTCCATATTTAAATAGGGATTTGAAATAAGTTGGAGAAAACCAATTTTGTCTTTGTTTTCTTTTGTCTTTGTTTTCTATTTCTAACACAATCCACATTTGCATCTAAGATGGTCCCATACTAGTGGAGAAGATGAATCTAGTTCTCACACGTAATTGTGGGACAGCAGGATTTAAAGATTCAGATTTTGAAACAAAAGGTGTCTATTGTGGCATGTTCTGTCTGGTAAATATATCTTTATTTTTTATTGTAATGGCAGAGAGAATCATATATGTATTTGCAATTATTTTAATTCCCTCAAGGAAATGCAAATAGTCCTCTTAGCATTATCATTTATAGCCAAGTCTTACAGATGAGACCGTGAAAAGGTATGTGGGATCTGTTAAAGTACCATCATAAAAAATAATCCACTGGAAGTATTTTATAGAAATGCATTTTCATTTTATTTCACCAGAACAGAGAAAGTTGAAAATATTAGCATATGCAACATCATTCTGGTTTACAAACAAACGTAGTGGCAAAATGCTCCTGACATTCAATCTGATGGGCAGGAGTGTTTAGGAAAGCATAATTGCATAAGGTGTAGAGGATATTAACATTTACAAAGTTTTGAGTTTAGTAAATATTGTGAAGCACTCTCCAAGTCAAATACAATTCAAAGCTTTCCTTTAAACATCCCTTAACAAAAGCTAATCTTTGGTATAAACTTGTGTAATCAAAAGGCATTAATAATATTGCATTAATATAAAGTCAAGCTATTAAATGGTAGTGACTTAAGAAGCTCACGCTCGAAAGGCTGGACTATGAGGTGGAAAAACGCCTCCCATAAAAGGCACCAGGGAGGCCCCTTAAAATCCTCTCCTCCTCCTGAGTTCACACAGACCAAAAAGGCCAGACAAGGTAAGGTTGCCCGTCCTTTTCTGTGGCCAAGATCCAATATTGTGGCAATTGTGAGTACCGTATAGCCAGGATCTTGCCGTTTGAAGAGAAGGCATGAAAAGGTAATTCCTTTGAATTTAGTTTTTGAATTGCACCAAGGAAGAAAAGACGAACACTAAGGTTGCGTAGGAAAAGTGAAGAGGTAACACCCAAGAGCCTGTTGTCAATGCTGAGGGCTACGTGCCAAAATCCTCCGAGCAGACCGCTGTGTCTTCTGGCTGAAGCCCTTCGTAAGGAAGCAGATCCCAACGACGGCAGCTGGATTTGCAAGGGGCGGCCTCAGTGTTTTCACGGCGGTGCTTCATAAAGCCCAAAGTGAATCATTTCTGAGACCACGGAAAGAGTTTTTACTATGGTACCTCCATGTTTTTCCTCTGGTTTAGCAAAACGAGGGAAATCCATTCTAGCATCAGATCAAATTTTGGTGGCAAGAAGCCTAGGTACTCCCCTCCTAAGCTCTGGCCAGGAGCTTTTTGTGCCCAAGGAACTCGGTAGCTATGGAAAATTCTTCCCCAAAGTTTCATTTAGAGATGGCTATTAGTGAAAAACAAGAGCAGCGACTTTTGATTGCTAAACTTACTCTCTTCTGCCAAAGGAATGGTGCTTTTCTCTTTGGACAGGGTAAAATTAAATTTAGTATCTTCTCATTAAAAAAAAAAAATATGTAAAAGCAGAGAACTGAAAATTCAAACTTGATTTCCTGATTGTCCCTCACAATTAACAACTAAGCCAACAAAGGTGGCCTGAGTTTCAAATTATGCTACGACAAAACGCCCCTTGCTGCGTTGCATAGAAAACACAATCATGTCAGAGGTAGAGGAGGGAAGAATGGGTTGAAATAGTGTTTCCAAAAATAAAATAAAAAGATCAAAAGCAAAAGGGGGGGGGAAGGTCTGGAAACGAGCTAAAGTGAGATTAGATACCCAAAGCAGCCCAGCATTATTATTAAAAACCCTTCAGGTGGGGGGGGGCCTTCAGGAGACTTGTGTCAACCTGGGCAGCCCCTTCAGGTGCTCTGCAGAAGAGGGGTGCTCGTGGAAACCCCCCCCCCCCAACGCTCCGGGAGGAGGAGGAGGAGCAATGCTCCCTACTGGTACCACGGGGTCTTCCTGACCCAGCGCAAAGTGAATCCAGCATCTGTCCGGATCTTAATGGATGCAGCTTCGGCCTCCCGGACGGTTTCCTTGACGGACTGCATGAGATTCTGGGCGTTGTGGACCAACATCTCCGTGGCCTGGAGGGGAGAATCATTTCAAAACCGATTTTAGCCAAGACAAGTTATTTGGAGAAAGATAAGTTGTTGAGAGCACCGTTTCTCAAACTTGGGAACATTTAAGACGTGGGGACTTAAACTCCCAGAATTCCCCAGCCTGGCTTTTTTTTTTTTTTTTTTTTGAAAATAAGGCCGATAGGCAGAGCTATCTCCTCTGTGCCGGAACGGAAGCTGCATATTGAAAGTCAAGGCAGTTTAAAAATGAAATCTGAGGGAATTAATGATAAGGAAGGTCTGGATTTATTCTCTCCGCCCTGACCTCAGCTTCTGTAAATCTGGAGAATTAACATTTCAGCCCAAGCCACCACGCTGACTCTGAGGGAGTCAGTCAGGGAGTCAGTCTGCTGGGTAGAAAAAAAAGAATTATTTTTTTTCTACCCAGCAGATGGTGCTGTGAATACATTTAAATTCGGAGCAAAGGCCTTTATCGTCCTTGAAAAAGGGGCTGCTTTTTTATTATTATTATTGTAAACCAGATTTGACTATAACTACCCAACACAGCTGGAAAACAGAAAGTCATTTATCTTCCATCCTTGCTTCCTATGGCAAAGTTTTGTCACTTTCATTATTGACATTCCTGCCTTTTCACTGAGCCCAGAATTTCCACGGCTAAGCAAGACAGTTATTAAATAGGTTTTGCCCCATATTACGACCTTTCTGGCCACAGCTGTTCAAGTGAATTGCTGCAATTGTTAAGTCAGTAAGTGACTGTGGCTCCCTGTTGACTCCAAATGAATCCGGTGGCCCTGGGACACGGCGACCATCGTTAATATGAGTCGGTTGCCAAGTGTCCAAATTTTGGTCACCTGGCCGATGGCCATGCTGCAACGGGGAGAAGTGTTTAAAAACAGTCACAAGGTGGTGTTTGTAAGTCAAGGGTTGCCTGTATATTTGAAAAGAACAACAGATACATGAAACAAGGCGGCTGGCTTTTGCACTTGGAAGAGAAATCATCGGGAGGGTTGGGGACCGAAGCTGCTGCTAATCATTGAACATTTCATGATGGCTACTTTCTACCGGACAGCCAAGCTACTTTTGCCTGTTCCCCGACACCCCCAATCTCAGCTGAAGACGCTCCTCCCCCCCCCCCACCTGGAACAGGGAAACTGACCTGTTCAGACTCCTCGTCGCTGATGCTGGTCCGGCCCAACATGGTCGCTTTGACGGTGGACAGGATTTTCAGCTGAGTGCTGATGGTTGGGATTCGTTCACAAACCTACACAAACGAGAGTTACCCGCTGGCTTTCATCGTCATCTGGGCTACTCTTAAAAATAACAGAATTCTAGCATCGCTTTTCGCTCAAGTGGTCTGCGTTAAAAATGAGCATTCGTTACTCGCATAACTCTTGAAGAAAGAATTTAAAAAATAGGCCAACTGTCTTTCCGGTAGTGGAAAACAGACGGCTGAAATATTTCCTTGAGAATTTTTGAAGAGGATTTTCTCTGTTCAAAACATTATTTTACATCGGTGTTTTTCAAATTTGGCAATTTTAAGATGTATGAATTTCAAAAAGCTGCCAGGGAATTCTGGGAGCTGGGAGTCCACACATCTGAAAACTGCCAGGTTTGAACAACATTCGTGGGGATCACTTGCTGCAAAGACTGCCTGGAGGCACCCATCTGTGGCAAGCAGCGGCATGGGGGCACAAAAAATGTTCCCACCCCCAACTTTTGGGAAGGAAAGTCCCTCCGTTTCACTGGGATTAGGTTCACTGGGGGGCTTCCCTTAGACTGAAGAGGGAGACAAGCTTGCTGGAAGGGCTGAGAGGCAAGTTGGCTAATTCGAGACCTTTTCCTGCAAAACGGCGCTGCCATCCTTGTTACGCTTGCAAAACCAAGAGGAGCAACCGCGACTTTAAAAAAAACAGGCAAAGGGATGAATCTTAAGCGTGGATTTTTAGCTAGACACACCTTGATTTTGGCTGTGGGGCTTTTAGTCTTAACCGGTGCATTTTTTCAATGGGTTTTTTGCAACCTTCCCTGCTGGAGACGTTCTCCGCCTTCCAAGCCAGGTTTCATGGCCTACCTGCAAAAGGTTTGTTCGGATCCTCTTGTCCGTGCACTGTTTGGCCACCTCTTTAGCCAGACGGGTCACCTCGTCGGAAGCTTTTGCGATATCTTTTGCACACTGGATGAGCGCTCGCTTGTTCCCACTGGCGCCCCTCACCAGGCGGGACATCTCGGCCATCAGCAAGGCCATGCGCTTGGCCGCCGCAATGATGTCGTTGCCCTGGAAGAAAAAGAGCCGTTGTGATCGCTCCGGGCCCCAACGACAGCCATGTTCTGGGGCTGTGCCGTTGCTGCTCGACAACAAAACAAAACAAAACAAAACAGGACGGTAACACAAAGGCCACGTGTGAAACTCCCCATCTTCAGTGACCACAAGCTTCAGCCAAGAGGGGAGGGGGTAAACACACTCATCCGCACACAGAGTACGTACAGGTTAGTAGTGTTGCCAAAGTTTAACTCTCAGTTAGGAAGCTATCATTTAAAAAAAAAAAGATGGCCAAAAAATGTCTTAAAGCATCATGTGATGATGGTGAATATTCTTAATATGTAAATAAGAAATCAGTTACAGGGTCAAACTGAAGTAAACGGTGGGAAATGAATATTCTGAATGGAGAAAAAATACATGGAAAAGGCTACATTATTTAAGCCTTTTGATCAGCTAAATTTAAAATGCATCTGTAGAAGGGATTTTTTTTTTCAATCAAAAAGGCAAAAAGATGCTATTAATCGTCAGATATAAAGCATCATCTGAATGCTTGCTCTATTCGTATATAAACGTATCCACAACTCATCCATTAATTGGTTAACCCCTTGGCTAAAATTTCTTTCAATGGATAACTCAAAGAATTAACAATTCTTTTTCTTTGACAAAATGAGCCATTTTCCTCTTGGGAAAAACAGGAAAGTCACTAATCCATATTTAAAAGCCTTTTAAAAACCAACTCTGTTTTGAATCACTATTACAATTAATCATAGTTTGCTGTTGCATTCAGATAAAATGAGAAACTGTGATTACTTGATAAAAGAGAAGTGAAAACCTTCCCCTCCTCACAGTTGCAAGATGGGGGGGATGGTAGAACAAAACGGGTCAATAGCTTTTCCGTTAATCTGTTGTGCTAAACCAAGCTTCATCGTGACATTAGAACAGTCCGAAGCTTCCAATGTTCAACCATTACCAGCCCTTATTCTGTGTCAGGACTGCCATTCGAATGAAAATGTCTGTAGGAATACTCAGAGCAGGGTAGTTCTTACGTTAGAAGACAGGATGCAACATTTGTGAGGAGACACATGAGTTAGTATGTTGAAATGAACATATGAAAGTAGAAAAAGCGGGGTGTTCCCTCCCATCTTTTGCATGCAGAATGCTGTGGCTGTGCTGTGATTGTTGAATGAAAAGGCAAAATGTACGGTGCTGTCTAGGGAAAGAAACTTGGGGGTCCGCTTCCGTCATTTTACGTGTCCTGATACTCTGCACAGATGCAAAATTCCCAAAGGCTCCACTTCAGGATTACGGCACATCCGCGCTCCCATCAGCCCATTCATTTTAAGGGTACAAATGAAACAAATGCAATGCAGCATATACATAAGTACAAGCCAGGATGGAAAGTATGGTTTGTTGTTTTGCAATGCACTAAGCCAGTCCAAGTGCCATTGGCCAACTCCCAACTGAGAAAAGCCATGCCTCCTCCTCCTCCTGGATGGCTGGGGAGGAGGACCAAAACACAAGACCCGGTGAGAGGCCGCCCCCCCCTGCCCAAATGCCCTTCAGAGAGGGGGAGGGGCCTAGTATCCACAAGCCCACCGGTGATTCTCCTGCAGAAGCCAGGCTGAAATGGTTGCGTGGCCTCCCCATTCATTTCATCTCAGACAGAAGAGAATTAGGCCGGATTACACTCCATCGTTACCCACGCGTGGGAGACGTCCTTTGGAATTCATGCCATTCGCCCATGAGTGCAAAAAAGAAGAAAGAAAAAAGGGAGAGAGAGAGAGGCTAATTTTCCATACAGACATACACCAGAGGCTCAGAGCTGCCCGGCCATACGTTTATTCTCTGCAGCATGCTACTCTTAAGGAAGTGAGAAATAATCCAGCAGCTTGGCAAACTCCTCTTGGTGCTTAGTGCCAGCAGACCATTCCCATCAAAAGCCACAGACCCCACATCCCCATTAATAACGCAGCTGAAACACGAGAGGGCAAAGTCTGAATTTAACATCTCAAGGCATTCAGCAGAGCCTCTGCCCACCATCACGGCCTCTGCCCACAGGACCAGCTCTTTGGCAATGGTGCCATTCAAAGCCATTCCTTGTTGGAACAAAGGTTTAGTAGAAGCCGTTGGTCAAGAGGCAGGAAGCAGAACGATGCGTGTTAAATGACTTCAGGAGTGACGACGACACCTTGACCGCCTGGAAGTCCCTGAAAGGCAGTGGACGATGGCTTCGCAGGTGGTCAGGCGTCCGTTTCTCTGGCTCCCTGTTAAGTAACCCCTGGCACGAGGAAGGCAGAGGGGGACAGGCTCCGATTCAGGAGGAGAGTGATGGGAGGCAGGGTGAGCCGAATGAAGCTTTGGCCTGGCCATCAGCACGCCTGATGACACTCGTGAAGCCAACCGCGGCCCTCAACCATGAAATGCAGACACACTCGAATCCATTCCAATTAAGAAAAGAAACCATGAAGAAGACCAAAAAAAAAAAAAAAAGGCATGGGATCCGCCGAGGATCAAGAGTGATGCAAACGTGTCAAAATGGCCGGATGCAATGCGGATCAGTCCCCGGGGAGTGGAAACGGAGCAAATACCTTACTGGACCACTTGGTAGCTTCCCGGTGCAGAGACTGAGCAGCGGCCAGAATGGGCTGGTTAACAGGCTGGTTGGTCGGCATGAGCAGCAGCTCAGGCTCGTAATCATCTTCCATGTCGGAGGGGAGGGTGAATTCAACTCCTGCTTCCTCCTCCTCCTCCTCCTCCGCCTCCTCCCGAGCTACGCCTAGGCCAACCTCGGCGGGGGCTTCCTTCCCCCCACCAGCCACTTCAGGCTTGGCAGGTGGCAGACAAGGAGGGTGAAGAAACAGGGAGAGTTAGTATAAGATGCAGGATCCCGTCCAAGAAGCAAGAACCGAGCTAGTTTAGGAGACCTCGGGGGGGGGGCGATGGAAGGACGGTAGAGTAATGGGGAGGTTGGCAAAGAGATCTGAAACAGTAGAAACACCTTCGAGAGACATTTAGGAAAGCATTCCGAGACATACTTTTCACCCTTTCCCTCTTTTAATTGGCTTATCTTTCGCCACAACATTTATCCTGGCAAGACAATAATGCCGCTGACAAAGACACAAAGCAAAGGCAACACTTGAAGCCGACAGAGAGGGAAACTCAAATGGCATGGATGGACTATGGGGGTACACCAGGTGTACATCGGGGCAGACCCAACTGCTATGGGTCGGACCTCGGCCAAGCACAGGAGGCTATGAAGGATGGCCCTGTGAAGGGAGGGGCAGCTTTGAACCAGAGGGCCAAATTCACAGTGACCCCCCCCTCCTGCCCAAACCCCTCTGTTAAAAGGAAGCAGGGCTGCATGGCGGCTTCCATGCTGGCTCACCTGTACCTGTCTCTCCAGAGCCAGGGCTAGCGGAGGCGTCTGACGCCCAGGGCGCCCCCTTCACAGCCACCCACCTGGGCCTTCGCCCGGGGTCTTGATCCGGCCATGGAGAAGACAGCGATGAAGAGCAAAGCAGGATGGAAGGAGGAAAGGACGACCCACCCCTCACCCCCAGAGAGAGAGAATGGGCTGAAAGGACATGACTCAGTGTTCCCCGTTACCTGACAGAAAGTGATGTTAGCAGCACGGGTCAAAGCAAATCAAAACGTTTCTGTTAGTGGAAAGTTAATGACATGGAGCAAGATTGTTTTGCCACAATGTTGTTCTACAAAATCCAAAAAGGGATTTAAATCTTTTGCTTCCGTATCCCAAATCACATCCCAAAGTACCTAAAACAAAACGGCCCAGGATCATTGCAGCAACCATCACAACTGTCAACATTCAGTTCAATACAGAATAGGAGGCAGGAAGGAAGGAAGGAAGGAGGGAAGAGGACCGGGCAAAAGTTACTGTTTTCGAGGGCCTGAGAGACAGCCATATTTTCAGTGTTATTTAGCCACTCACTATCTTTGTGTTGACCCTTATTTCATCCAGGGTTCTCCTTCTGAGTGCTAAAGTATTTGGCATTCTGAAAGAAAAAGCTCTACTTTTAATGTGCAATTACATTAGCAAACTGCAAAATAAATGTGGTCCCTTTTTTAGTTTCCCGATCAACAAGATGTTAGTTTGTCAACTGAAAGTTCAGCAAGCTTGCCTTGTTCTTCTATCGGGGTCAATCTGACATGTTTGTGGAGAGAATAAAAGGAATGATTAAATAAAGAATTTTTGCCTCTAGAAAGTTTACTTCCAACTCTCCCTCTCTGCTCTTCCAACCATAAATTTGGGGGTAGGTAAGGTAGGAAGGAATTATCTTTTAAAAAAGAAACATGGCTGCTAAACCTGTAGAATATCTGTTTACTCAAGTCATTAATGTTCAGTGACCCATGAAACCATAGTTTCAAGAAATTAGGTAATACAGTATTTAATCACTAAAAGGTATCTCCATCTAGAATTAGGTGCTACTTGCTCCCTCTGCTGTCCAGTCAAGACTTCTGGGCAAACTGAGCTACATTTTTCTACAGAGATCATCGTTATTCTGATTATGCTGACTGAAGTCATAAAGTTGTGTGCATATATTTAGATGCTAGCAAAGGTTAAATTAAGATTTTTTTTTCAATCCAATCTTTATTATGATCATTAACCAGAACAGTGGAGTAAGATAAGAAAGGGTTAAAGAAAAGGATAGCAGTAGATTGTTCAATGTAGAAAGAGTGAAGCATCCAATTTACAAAGGTTTACTAAGGGAGAAAATGGTAATTTATACCATGAGAAAAATCAGAAATATATGAAGGTCTCACCACAGTTCTGAAGGTTATTCTAAGTGGACCTCTTTTTTCATGATAGCCTGATTACTATACAAAGTTGTCAGAGCTAATCAATGTGAAATATTATTTTTAACACAACTCAAAAGTAGCAACTTTTGCCTACTTAAAAGAAGATCCTTTTAAAAATTGGCACTCAAAGAGAAAATGTTTACTTACTCTAAATTCAACCCCTCAAAGTATCAGGTTGGTTTCTTTACAAAGTTACAAAATCCCTCAAATTTGAAAAATACTTGCAGTCACATGTAATATTAAATTTCAAATTTTGCCCTACATGTGGACAGATTTGAAGCCTCATGCAGAATTCCAGACTGGATGGTTTTTTCCAATGTGGGTTTAGAGCAAAATTAAGAGACAGAAACAGCATCTCCCACAATCCACCTTGAGGGAAAGATGGATCCTTTCATTTTTCTCAGAATGGACAAATCTTATCTGCAATCTACATTTTCAAAAAGGCATTTCATTTTGCATCTTTTTTTTTATAAAATTGTGCAAAGCCCTTAACTGTTGTTAAGCTCACTTAAAAGCAAAACAAAAACAAACCTCACAGTGTTTTGCTTTGGGGCAGAATATGATTTGCAATTATAATCATCCCAACGGTGAAAAGTTATTGTACCAAATTAAAGAAATGATCATAAATAATTATTTAGTTCTGAACATGTTCATTAGGCATATCAACTGGCTAACACAACTCACAAAAATACTATTTTTGTGCAACTATCTAAGAACAGAATTTTCTCAAATAGTTAAATTAGTTGTCTCCTTTCAATAACCAAGATTTTCAAACACTGAAGAAATTGTAATTAGGATAAACACCCGAGTTGCAGAGATCAATATAAATTGAGGAAGACATGTCAATCATTGAATCCAACACTCTCCCTCATTTTTCCCTTCCTTTTTGGTATAGCAGCACCATCTGGAACACAACAGATTTCAGAGGAATATATCACAGGAACAGTTTTGCAAAGACCCAGAAGTCAGACCCATCCATTTTATCCAAGGCAAACAAAAATGGACTCTGAATTGTCCCATTTGTCTTATAAAATAGACAACTGCATTATACTCCCTTACTTTTCATGCTACTGAATTTCATCAGCAGAAAATATTCCTGTAATATTTCAGGAAATTCATTTTTAATTTTTAATCCTTAATAAACAAAGGATTCTGTTCTAATTTTCTAAAATCAAAATAAAGTACCGTATTTTCCGGTGTATAAGACGATTGGACGTATAAGATGACCCCCGACTTTGGAGAAGATTTGCATGGTTAGAAAGTCGTCTTATACGCCGGAAAATACGGTAGTCCTTTATAAAAAGGGGTGAAAATGTTCATTTATAGTTTGACAAGAGTGTAATAGACAATGAATAAATAAACAAAATGGATTAGCATAATTGCAAACTCATCCTGTTTATTATTCTAACTAGCCCCTTTATGTTAATTCTTAGGTTGTCCCCAATTTCTGTGCCTTCTCCATCAACACAAGATTTAATAGTAGCAAGATATCTTAGAAAGAAAGTATGGTCTAAAATAAGGAACTATATGATTTCCTGAATTCAAACAAAAAACTAGCTACATATTTAATGCTCGTTTAGTATAAATAATATTATTTTGAGAAACTGATGAAGTTTACGTACATTATAGGCTGACTGGGGAAGGAAAAGGAGAGAAGATGAAAACTTTGTTCAGATTATTTTAAGAACAAATCCCGTATTTCATTTCAGTAACTTAAATATTAACATTTGCCAGGTGATACACCTCCACACACATCCCATCTTCTTGTAGACGTGCCACTTTTAAAAAGGAAGGAGAGCATTAAATCTTACAGATATACATTCCCAGGAATTCCAGCGCCATTGGAGTGCAACCGCTGGGGATGCTGAAACCCTGCGGGATGCATCTCACCTGGGGAGGGGCTGCCCGGCAGCTCAAAATCAGCCAAACTACCTTTGCCCTGTCCCAGCTCTCCATTCTTCCCTACACAGACATCCTAGCCACACCGGAGTCTCTCTCGTTCTCTTCCCTTCTCTCTCCTACCGGCTTATCTCCATGACGGACTATTTGCCTGGTTCAAATTGAGCTTCCCTGCCTTGCTGAAGAGGGTCCAAGGGATCCTTTCAACAGCCAACTCCGAACTAAAGCTTCAAAAGGGGAGAACCGGCACCAGATCCTCTGCCGGCTTCGTTTCCTGACGTCTCCTCCTTTCTGACCCAGAAAAACCCAACGGCACAAACACTCAAGAGATCACACACCAGAAGGAAACAAGCACTGGACATGGTGGGAGGGGAAGAATCCTAATCCGCATCGCGGAGCCCTCCTGGAAGGGCATTCTCTAAGTGAGCAAACTAGGCCAAGAAGCCTCGGCGCAGAGGTCCAGGCTAAGGGCCTACCTTGCTGGACCATTTCCTGGCTTCATCGTGGAGCTGCCTGGCAGCCATCATCATGGGCTGGTTAAGCACCTCGCCGGCCTTCTGCTCCGGGAACTCTTCGTCCTTCTCTTCGGGGGGTGGGGGGCGAGGAGGAGGAACCTCCCCTTCGGGCAGAGGGGGCTTTGGGGGAGCAAGTTCATCGGTGAGCTGCGGAAAGAAGCATTTTGGGTGTCAACAGCCGGATCTATAGCAAAATCCAGGATGGGCATTTTGAGGCTTTGGGCCTGGTTTGCCAAATTCAGAGTCATCCCTGTTGCTAGTTAATGTTTACAACAAGAGTCGTTTCTTATGACTCAGAAAGGGAATTAAGGAGCACCCCAAGACCTGCTACAAATTATTTTGAAAATGAAAAGGAGTACTATGACATCAGTGTTTGGGGAATCTAAGTTAGATGCCAAGTGACTTAATTGTGCAATGCAGTCACAACCCTACAAACACACAAATGTTCTCTAAACCAGTATTTTTCAAATCCTGGAAGCCCACCCATCTTAAAACTGCCAAGTTTGAAACACCTCGCTCTGCACCAACGGCTGCTGGTTCGGATTCTCTCCTTCACCAAGCAGGGCAAAACACACATTAGTGTTCCTTACGTGGAGCTGCTCGAGGTCAGGAGGAGGAGGAGGGGGGGGGAAATCGGGCTCCTGGGGCTGGAAAGCATCGCGGACTCTGGCCACCGCTCCTAGAATCCTGTATCCAGAATCAAGAAAGTTCTTCTGCAAACCTGGCCAAAAAAAAAAGATTATTTTAAAGTTTTGGAAGCAAAGTATTTTAATCTAACAATTAACACTCGGTTTGGGCACCAAGTTGGCACCACCTGAACCCAAAATGCACAAAACCCTCCAGTGAAGTTAGGGACTCAGCAGCAAGGGGACAGTGGTAGGATAAAGGAACGAAGCAATTATTAAACTTCTGTAGGAGAAGGAATGGCAGAACCGAGGGGGGCGGTTAGAGTTAAACGAGGGATCAGTCTAGAATCCCTACGTTGCCACAAGCAAACTAAGTTCAATTTCCCTTGAACCAATCCTTATTTAACCCCAAGCAAATGCCTACTGTTAGTTGAGAAGATCCTTACACAAAGGCTTTTTGGTAATAGGTCAGTTTAAGGGGACCTTCACCTGTGGACTTGAACTTTTGCACATGACAATTCTCCGTTTTTCAACCTCCAGGACTGAATGTTGTATTACTCAAACAGCTATTTGACGAGAGACCTACACTGGTCTCATCCATCCATCCATCCATTCAATTTCTATAGCTGCCCAACTCAACCAGGTTGGAGCGGCTTACAATTCTAAAATTCTAAAACCCATTAAAACAACCAAAAACCACTGAAACAATAAAAACCTGGTGTAAGTACAGCTGTGATGACAGATCCACTGATCGTAAAGTTGAGCGATCGGCACTTCACACATTCCAAGCCCCGGCCCTGGATACACAGCCCAGTTTACAAAGCCTCACGAAAGGCCAAGAAGGCTGGGGGCCACTATGTTCCAAGGGGGGAGGGGAACCATACCACCAGGCAGGGGCGAGGGCAGAGCCAGCCCGTCTTCCAGTTCCCGCCAGTCGACTCTTCGGCTGACAGGATCTGCAGCCCACTCAAACTTCTGGGTTGGATTGGATGGGTGGAAGCTCTTGGGGAAAAGACATTCTCCTCCCGTAACTTGCCAGTGCCTCTTACACTTCACAAGCCGTCGGTGTCTCTGCACTTCCCCGGGGCCAACCTCAAAGGCCAGAAGCTTGAGACAGGCTGGTGAAAGACTTACCCGGGTCAGAAATGTTGCCTGCCACGGCTTTTGCATCCATCACCATTGGTGAAATGGTCTTGCTCAAGTCATCCGAGGCAGCTTTAATAGCTTCACGGAATTTAGGATCTTCTGAGTTTTCCACCTCTTTCTTTGCCACCAGCAGGATACGGTTCGCTCGCCGGGCAATGCTGGTGGCCCCGGCTACCAGCATCTGTGGCTGAACGTTGGCCATGGCCACCTTGCATTTGTCCAGGTCTTTCTTAATGGCTTCCTCAGAGGCATCCAGCAGGGATTTGGTGTCAATGGCTTCATCCACTAAGCCTGGAATGGCACATTCAAAAATTTACCTCCTTGTACATCCACGTGTAACCCACGTGTTGCTCGAGACCAAGCTTCCCTCACGCATCGTGTGGTTAGACCAGGGATGTCCCACCTTGACAACTTTAAGACCCGTGGACTTCAACTCTCAGAATTCCCCAGGCAGCTTGAAATCCATGAATCTTAAAGCTGCCACCGCTGGACACCCCTGAGTCGATGGGCCTGCCCAGCAGAAACAGGATGGGCCTCTCCTCTAAATGTGGGCCACCAAGAAGGTCTGCTCTGCTCCCTTAACTATCTTATCTTGCCTCCGGAAAGTTTCCACATTCGTGAATTCTATAACATCCTCCAATATTAATGGGCTTCATGAGTGGTTAAACTAGGAACGCATTATGTTTATATTCAGAGAAGGAAAAAGATAGAATCCCTCAAACCTATTTTAATAAAAAACAATCCTGCACCATGAAGAGTTTGGATGGGATTTCAAAAGGCAGAATGGAGACCGTATTTCTTTGCTTAATAGAATGACCAAGGCTACACTAACGTTAATCATAACATAATATTTGGCCAACTGGTTACTCACTAATAACTTCTTTTTGGCAAGATATTTTGAGAGTCCAGCTACAGAATTGTCTCAAATCTTTTCTGTCTGGGGGTCAAACCAACCTTGCTTGACCTGAGAAATGACTCTGAAATCTGAGGACAGAAGTGCTAAATCTTTATACTTTATTTATTCCTTTGGCCAAGTATGGTTAGACCCACCAGCACACCTAGGGGGGACCATCCTCACTGTCAGGGCAAAATGTTATCAAAATATGATACAACTTGTCTAAAACCCCAACCTGTCCTGATCCCCAGGACTCACTTCTTCTTCCTCTTCCTTTCCTTTGTGCAACGTTAAGAGCACCTAATAATCCTCTTCCTTTTTCTTTCAACCTCTCACCCATTATCTTTACAGAGTAATATACAGCCACCAACATGGCTATAAATAATTGCAAGGGTGCAGTTATTTCACCTGTCATTTTTTCCACATTATCGATCCATTGGTTCTTCATGGTCTCAAAATGTTCATAAGCAGCCTGATTGCCAGGATTCCTCAACAGGATGCGAGCGGCAGACACTACCTGCAGATAGAGAGGTATCTCAGGAAGGACAATAAGCAAATCTCCTGGGATTATTATTATTATTTTTTTTTTTTGGTCAGCCTTAATAAACTGAAAGTTTAATGTATCATTTGGAACAGACACCAGACTGAGGATTTTCAGGAACGGGGTGACATTGAAAACTGCTTGAAGATACTTTAAAGGTGTTGAGATTCCCAAAAGTCTTTCTGGTCATGAGTTTAAACAGCAACAGTCCTGGCACTTAAGACTTGCACACTGCTCCATGGGGCTTTATGACACCCTCTGGAGAGGTCTACAGAGGCAGCCTAGTGGGGGCAACATGCTACCTGAGAAGAACAAAATGAAAGGCAGTATCTTCTGGTTTTCAAGGAAGTGCTCAGCTGAATCCTACTCCAATGTTCCCTTCAGAAATTTGAAGAACAAGATTCCAGTCTTTGCTTAAAAACATGGTAGTTTTTAAGCAAAGCTCAGACAGCCATTTATCTGGGATGGTCCCCCTGTCCTGAGAGAGGGTGCAAGTCGTCCAGCCCTTTGATTCTGTGATCATTACTTGCATTCCGTAATATGGGATGCTTGATTTAGGAAGACCACTGCATCCCTGAATTCTTTAGATGACTTCCAGGTCTATGGAAGTCCTTTCCCTACTTTCAATCCTAGACGTGATCAAGCCTAAAGTCGTAACATTTTAGGCATGTGTGATGGAGACAGGGAGAGAGAAAAAGAGAGAGAGAGAGAGAGTCAGAGAAAGAGAGTCAGAGATGGCGAGAAACAGCGAGAGTCAGGGAAAGAGAAACAGAGAGAAAGAAGTAGAGCAGTGGTTCTCAACCTTTCTAATGCCGTGACCCCATAATACCGTTCCCCGTGTTGTGGTGACCCCCAAGTGGGTGTGGCCACCAATAAGAGGGAGTAGGACAGCTAGGGAAAAGGGGGGAAAATGGCGGACGGCGTGGTTTGGCGACCCCCGTGAAATGGTCATTCGACCCCAAATGGGGTCCCGGCCCACAGGTTGAGAACCACTGAAGTAGAGAGTCAGAGAAAGAGAGAAATAGAGAGAGAGAGAGAGAGAGTTAGAGAAAGAAAGAGAGAAACAGAGGGAGAGGGAGGGAGGGAGGGGACCCACCTGAGGCGTCAGTTCCCTCGCTGACTTCACAGTCGCCTGGATGCCCTCCACGGTACTTTTGTTGGCTGTCCCAACAGCCGCCGCTTTCTCCGCTGTGGCCCCCAGCCTCGCCGCGTGATTCTCAAAGTTGGCTGCCCTTTCCTCAAAGACCTGGAAGGTTAAGCGAGCCCTTTACAAACCGAAAGAGGCCCAAACGTTTAAACCGAGCCAGGACCAACTTACACAAACCCATTCAGCCTCGGCTTTATGGAGAATTCTTCATAAAGATTCATCAAGGGCTCATTCAGTGGAAACACCAAAATATTCTTCTTTTGGGAGAATCACTGCTTGCTCTATCGGAGCAGAGAACGATGACAGTCGCGTGAATCAAGTAATGGAGAAATAAGCACCACAGAGAGGGCTTTCTGACCCTTGTTTCACATTTGTATAAGGTAGCTTGTTTAATTAACCAATGAACTAGAAAAAATAGAGAAAGCTCACTCGGCTATTGATCATCAAAGAGGCCCTGAAGCAGGAACAAAAACAAAACCTGGGAGTGTTTCCCGGGGAGTCAATCCAGCCTTGGGATCCACAGGGAGCAACGTCGCTTAAAGTGTGACATGTCTGCAGGTGGTCCTTGACTTACGGCCATCACTGAGCCTGGGAATTAAGGTTGTCAGTCATGATGATCGTAAAGCAGATCATGACCTGACTGGCCTGATTTTACGAAACCCATTCTTCGATGTGGGCAGTTTTTGCTGGAAACTGGAAGTAAATGCCTCCGGTTTCCAGCAAAAACACCGTAAACTGTCATTCCGTGACAGTGGGAGAGTGCAAAGGACCGTAAATGTGGTTGGGCCAGTTGCTGAGGGTCCAAAATGTGATCTCTTGGCCACTGGAGAAAGAACTGGAACCTCAGGCTCCAGGGCGAGGGGTTGCTTCTGCTTAAAAGCGGAAGAGACGCCTTCAGGACTGTTCAGCCTGGGCTGCCTGCCGGTGTAGGGAAGAAGCGCCCCACTGGCCCAGCTGAGTGTTGAGCTGGACCTAGCTAATCACAGGATCATTGTCTGCTGTTCCCACTGCAGGAATCCCAGGCTGGAAATAGACCACAAACCCTCTTCCCACCAGAGATGAACGGGTGGGTCTCCCAAGAGACGAAGGGTTCCAATTCAATTGGAGAGCTTTGAGCCTAGATTTAGGGATGCAGAGAACTAGCCAATCAAACATATTGCTTAGTTCCCAAACTGTAGGCGATGACCAGGCTGAGCCCGAGGGAGGGAGGGGTCAAGCGCCTCATCAGTCTTGAGTCTCTTCGTGCCCGCAAGGGATCGACCTCCAGCCCTCCTTGAATTCCTTTGACTCTTAACTACCACCAATTCGCTTTGATTGTTAGTAGTTCAGATTCTTCTCGAAAGTGTTAGCATGCATTAAACCTGCATTTCTTTGAACCGCCTGGGCTCCTAACATCTTGCACCTGACATAAACCTAAGTTTGAAGGCCACTGACTTTGTCCTGTCTAATTAAATTACATGTAACAGTATTTACAAAAGTTAACTTTAAGAAATAAAATGTTGGACTTAGAAATAAAGTACTATTCGAAAAAAATCCTGTTCACTGATATAGAATCCTCAAAGACCGGCATCTTCAAAACGATGATAGTTACATCGTTTTAAGCAAAGCAGGCTGGAAGGGCGGAAATTAACATTTCTTCTGACCAAATATTGATTCTCAGACACCCACTCACCTCCTCTCTGTTGGACGCATCTGGAGGAGCAGTGGCTGCTACTGCCAACAGCTTGATTGGGGTTGTGGTATCGCTAAACACTTCCGACACTTCCTGGGTCATAGCTTCTTGCATCCTTGATTTAAGATCCTTAACAAGAATTAAGAATTAATTAAGAATTAAGAGATGCATCTAATGAAAAGCAGTTTTCCAATATCTCAGGGGCTGTCCCAAAGAAGAGGGAGTCAAGCTGTTCTCCAGAGCACCCGAAGGCAGGACAAGAAGCAACGGATGGAAACTAATCAAGGAGAGAAGCAACCTAGAACTAAGGAGAAACTTCCTGACAGTGAGAACAATAAACCAGTGGAACGTCTTGCCTCCGAAAGCTATGAAAACTGGAAGTTTTCAAGAAGAACATAGGATATCAGACTTGGAAGGGAACTTAGAAGTCTTCTCGTCCAACCCCCCTGCTCAAGCAGGAGACCCTACTCTATTTCAGACAAATGGCTGTCCAACCACTACACCAAACTGACTCTTTTTTTCTCTTATTCTTTTCCAATGTTATTGCAGGAGGAGGACAGGCAGAGCCTCGGGGGCGGGGGGGGTGGAGTCAAGAGAGGCATCAGACTAGAGTCCTTATGTTCTCACAAGCAGGCTAAGTCCAATCCCTCTTGAGTTCTGTTCTTATCTAGTGCCAATTTAGTGCTGATCATTAACTGACTGGATTCCAACAAATAATGGTAAAGGCCTCCCCTGCCCAGCCGTGTCCGACTCTAAGGGGCAGGTGCTCATCTCCGTTTCTTAGCCGAGGGAGCGAGCGTTGTCCAAAGACATTTCCGTGGTCATGTGGCCAGCGTGGGTATACGCCGAGGCTGTTACCTCCCCACTAAAGTGGTACCTGTTTTTCTACTCGCATTTGCATGCTTTCTAGGTGGGCAGGAGCTGCGGCAAGGAACGAGAGCTCGCCCCGTCACGCAGCACTTGGGTCTCGAACCCGTGCTGTCAGCTTTCCAGCCGACAAGCTGAACGTCTTTAACCACTCCCTGCCCCCCTTACGAATAGGCATGAGCAGTGAGTCAGCTTAACTGGAACTCAACATACAGCCCTGGTTCTTCCCACCTGACAGTTGTGCTGTGGGCTGTCAACTAAGTTTCAAAAGGCGAATCTATTGAAAATCTGCTGGGAAAGCCTTCAGCGCCTCCTCTTTACCTTCAGCGCCTCCTGCAGCTGAAGAGCCACGACTCTGGCCTGTGGGGTGTCGCCTTCACCTCTTGCGGCCAAATCAGCTAACTGGGCAGCCAGCTGCTCCACCCGGTCACACTTGGCAAGCAAGTCCTGGCGGTAGGGCCCCATCATGATGTTGGCAAGGCGGCGCCCTTCGGCCACCAGTCCCCGGAGGGAAGCCTGGCCTGCATAAAAAGAAAGGCACCTTTCTGTTAGAGGCCCTCCTGGTTCACTGATGAGGCAAGAGAAAGCAGCCTGTGCCAAAGGGAAAATTAGCTGGAGTAAAATCAAGAAGTAGAATGGCAGGCCACTGCAGGAAAGGCTCACCTTTCCCGTGTTAAAAGGTGAAGGTTTCCCCGTCTGGCTGGGTCCCACTCCAGTGTTGTCCGAAGACGCTTCCGTGGTCATGCGGCCAGCATGGCTATACACTGAGGCGCACGGAACGCTGTTATCGCCCCCACCGAAGTGGTACCTATTTATCTACTTGTATTTGCTTGCTTTTGAGCTGCTCAGCGGGCAGGAGCTGAGGCAAGGAACGAGAGCTCCTCTAAAATCCGGGCTGTCAGCTCTGCAGCCGACAAGCTCAGCCATCTTGCCCCCTTTTTCCAAGGCTCCTAGACTGCAACATCAGAGAGACCTTGCTGCACGCCCTCTCTGAGGAAGTGACATTGACCAGCTTACCTACACCCCGATCATCAACTGTAGGGTTGTCTATCCATCTTTGAGCTTGCTCAATCTTGCCTTCCAGATGAACAGCTGGCTTGACGGGTCTGCTGTTTGCAACAGCCTTGTTGGTTTTGGACTGCAAATTCTGAAGCGATGTCGCTATTTGCTTGGCTAATGCCCGGGCTTCTGGCGAATCGCCTTTCCCACTGTTGGGAAAAGAAACGCTGCTAAGTAAGCCTTGTAAAGGGGTCCATTAAGACGACAAAGTTCAAGCGCGAGAACTGTGAATCAGCTACTTACAAGCTTAAGCACCGTTGCTCCTTAAACTTAACAATGCCCAAAGGATTTGTTAAGTGGTGATACAAGATCGTATTTACAAGGGAAAATAAGAATAGTAAGCAGAAAAAAACAAACAAATGTCATTAAGAAAGGTTAAATTTACACCGCTGTTGTCTGGAGACATTGCATAAGACACATCTTAAGAAGCGGAAGCATTACTAAAACTGCAAACCTATCTCAGTTTTATCCCAATTCTCAAAGCGTCCTCCAAACAACACTGGATTATTCGTTCACTCGTGCATTGAATTTATGTAGCTGCCCGTCTCACAGCTGAGCAGCACAGATCAAGCTAAAAGCAATTGATTTATTGTTTTATTTGTTAAATTTATCACCCATCTTGCTGTAGGGTTACTTTGGGCAGCTTATAACAATAAAAAGGAAGAAATGAAATGAGTGTAAGCAGAACAGAAGAAAAATAATAGAACAATAAAATAAACAATGAAAAAGAAAACAAGGCTACATCAATAACAACATGATGGATGGACGGAGAGCAGAGAGCAAAGGGGAGGGGAAGTGACGGAGTCTGCCATCAATCCAGCAGTCATCACTTAAATGTTATTATTTAGATATTATTTGTGTTTAAATATTAATATTACTATTTACATATTGTTATTAAAAACATAAAAAAACAGAAGGCTAAAAAAGCACAAATTTTAGGCAAAGAGCAGATGTTATCCCAACATCTCACCAGTCCCCAGGGATCCCCCACGCCTGATGGCACAACCGGGTTTTGAGGAGCTCCCGGGAGATCCATGGGGTGCAGCCAGCCTCACTTTGGGGGTGGGAGGGAGGAGATTGCATAAAGTGGGCACCACGATTCGAAGGATGGCTTGAAGGTGCAAGGAAATCCACCTTCCTCCCCTGTCGCCCTGAATGATCACGGATCTCTGGGCACCTCAAACGACCGCTGTTCCTACATGCCCACAGAGCTTCTCGTCCCACAAATAACAGGTTGCTCAGCAGGAACACAGAGGCAAGGCTATTCCAGTGTGAAAGCACAATAGCCCTTTAAAGCAGAGTTTGCCAATCTTGGCTGGGGGATCCTGCTTAAAAGCGATGGGGCATACACGGTGGAGCCAGGCCACTGAAACACAGGGATACTTTTGAATGTCTACAAAAGAGGTCCACACGTACTGTTTTCGAAGGTCGGACAATTTAGCTGTCAAAGCAGAGATTTCTCCCAAGGAGCGCAAAATGTCATCTCTCTCTTTGGGGTCTTCGCAGAGTTCTGCAATTTTCCTGGCTTCCGTCATAATTCCTCGGATGTGTTCTTCTCCTTCGCTGCCCCCGTTAGGATCTGCCAGCCAGCTCTACACAAAGAGAAACGGGGGGAGGGGTGTCAAGAGGGGTCTGCGCGTTGTCTCTCTTTTGCTCTAACACTAAAATGCTGTTCGGGCCAAAACTGACTCAACGGCAGATAAGGCAGTCCCCATTTTCTTGGTGGAGCCAAGGTCTGTCCTCAAGGTTAAAACCCAGGGTTCTCTGGCATAAAGTGAATTTACAAGAAGTCGACGGGAAGAATACACAAGATGTGCAATTGTTGAATTCAGTCATTCTCAAAGCATGACAGCAACCGGAAGTCATTATCGTTTAGACACCAGAATCGCTTTAAGGGTATCCGCCACCCACCCACCCACCCTTCTCTTCAGGGCAGGACTGGGGGTACCTGGGCAGCGTCAATCTTCTTGGCAATGGCCTGCTTGGAGTTGGTCATGGCCTCCAGCTTGCGAGCCGCGTTTTCCACTTTGGCTGTCAGCAAGTCCAGCCCTTGAGCGATCTGCTGAGCTTTCTGCATTGCGAGAGGGGTGGCCCCTTGCCCCCTGCCCAAGGGGAGAAAGAGTCATAGAAGCCCTTTCAGATTTTGCTCAGGTAACCTTACAATAAAGTTAGAGCTAGCGCTCCTGAGGGTACTCCTTGTCTGGACTACCTCACAAGGCTGGCATCAGGAGCAAGGGAAAGCACACTAAGAAAGCCTTAAATAACATTAAAGGGTGCCTTAGACCCCACCAGCCCAATTTGTGCCAGCAGCGGGCACAAATGAAGCCCCGCCCACGCGTGCACACACCTGCCCCTCGTACAAAACCATCCCCTCTTGTCCCCTCCTCCCCCGCTGGGCCAGGCCACCAACACGGAAGATTGGGGACCCCTGCTTTAGAGCAACTCTAACCTGAGGACAATTTCACAAGCAGAAGGCTGGGAGAGGTAACCCCTTGGACAAGTCTAACCCACCACTGTTATTGCCCTGGTAAAATAAATAGATACAAATTTTCCCCTGTGGGTGATTTTAGCTTTTCTTTCTTTTTTTTTTTTTTTTTAAGAAAGGCAAGTTTTGTAATGTGTTGGTAGTGGGTTACCTGGCCCGAAGATCAGCTAGTTGATCCGTCAGCTGGCCCAACATTTTGCAGGTTCCTAGAATCTCCCGGCGTTCTTTACCTGCGCACAATTCTCCAACATTTCCTGCTTCATCCAGGATCTGTCTTATGGCTTGTTCGCCAGCGTCCCCTGGGAAGCAAGAATGGGTGAATAGAGGCCATATATCTGATGCATAATCATGCAAATTCCACATTCACAGCACTGACTACTGAGAATTCTAACAGCTAATTTACCTATGCATGGAAGCAGGGCTATTCTGCTAAAAAAAAAAAGCGAAACAAAAAACAATAACATGGATAAATGAACAGCATCTAAATTTCTGAGATCCACCTTCTCTTAAACCAGGAGTCTCCCACTGGTTGGCCCAAAATAATAGGCAGCAAATTCAGCAGCAGATGAAACAGAGTAAAAAACGGTCACAAGGCCAATTGTCCCTTGTTCCAGAGGAGCTTCTGCTAGCTAGAGGCTGACCATCTCCTTGCTTGACTGCTGGAGATGAACTGCAGGCACCTCAACCATGTCACTTGTTGCTGGGATTAGTACCAGGAACCTGCATGTCAACTTCTCATTAGCTCCCTGTCAAATGCAATCCATTGTTGGGTTTTAAAAAAAAAAAAAGTTTAAGGATTAGACTTGGGAAAGAAAATAAATATAATTCTGCAAATCTGGAGCCAAGATTTTTTTTTACTAACTGCTGACATCCTAATCTATAGTAAAAACAAGTTACATTCATCTTAATAGCATAGCATGACGTGTGTCAGAAGTTATTCCATCAATTCAAAATCTTATCAACACCCTGGGGCCAACATAATCAAATGAAAATGGAGAGACAAATTGATTTAATTAATTATAGAGCTCCACTCATATGCACTATATTTATTTAAATATGGATCGTATTTTTTAACAAATGAGTTATGCTAATACAATAAATAGGCAATAACCAAGAACAGAAACCATTCCAGAATATTAATTAAGGAAGATTACAAGCTAAATTATTTGGATAACTTAACAAAATAAGCAAGGATTTCCAAACTCTCTTCAGGAGCAACTTGTCCACTAATGCAGGGGTCTCCGACCTTGGCAACTTTAAGACTTATGGACTTCAACTCCCAGAATTCCCCAGCCAGCCATGCTCCAAGAATTGCTGACTGGCTAAGGAATTCTGGGAATAAAGTTGCCAAGGTTGGAGACTCCTGGCCGGAAGTATTTTTGGCCCTCCGTCTCATAGCTTTCTGGAAGCTCTTCCCTTTCAGGATGGACATACTGTGACCCCTCTTCTTAATTTTACCACTTGTAGCTTTGTATTTTATTCATATTTTAATTTTTGATTTGTGCCTTTTTTTAAAAACACCATCTCTGTGAGCTGCCTAGAATCCGAATGGAGGGATGGGCAAAGAAGCTGAGACAAACACATTATGCAAATATTTAGCCTAATATCAATTTGCTTTTGTTGAAGGGATCTAAAAGCTTCCCCAGGAAGTAGCTTGTGTTTATGGGTGCAATTATGCCATCGAAAAAGGAAAATGCTGTAATAACTGTATCATAATTCAGCATTCCCAGAATCTCAGCGTCTGTTTTGCCAGCAGGCATAAATCTGAGAAGAAAGACAGAGAGGGTTCCTTAACGGAGGAGGAGAAATGGGACTCAGCAGGACTGTCGCCGAGGGGGGAAGCACTGCGGTGCCATGGATGCTGCTCACTCAGCTGTTGACAAAACCAACATAGATTGTGGATGATGGTGTTGTCCTTTCAGTCGAGTGCAACTCTCGGCAATTCTGTGGGCCAGGTGGTCTCTCCCCTTCTTCCGATCTGGCCCTGCTCCTTCGAGCTGTTCTACACTCCGGCTGATGGCCACTTGTATGGTCTCCGGCCACCGTCTTCTTTGGCGGCCTGGTTCCCTTTTACCGCTAACTCTTCCAAACATAGTTGCTTTCTCCAATGACGTGCCCCAAATAAATGAGACACAGTTTCATGATTTTGTCTTCCAGTGTCAGTCTGGTGTTATTGTGCTAAAGGATTTGCTTGTTGGTCACCTTGGCTGTCCAAGGTATACGCAGGCGCCTTCTCCAGTCTATTCCGTCCCCTCCATGTGGATACCCCATTGTTGTAGGGGAGGGGCGTGTGTGTTCTGTTGAGGTATACCACCAGGAAGTATACCAGAACAGTCACTGTGCTGGAGGTATACCACCAGGAAGTATACCAGAACAGTCACTCCAGCCAGACAAGTCCCAACTGAAACTAAGAATATCCACCACCCATTAACCGTGATACAACAAAGAAGGAAACCCAGTCATTGCCTGGGTTAACAAGAACCACGGCAAAGGGGTTTAACTTAGCCCTGGTTAATTTTTTTTCATCTGTCCCAAGAGCTAACTTGCCATTTCCCTCTTGAATAATACTCTTTCTGGTCGTCCCACCCCATTCTGAACCCTGTGGGCATCACCTGCTGGAGCAGTGGGGTCCCTGAGCCAGCCCTTGGCCTGCTTCATTTTGGAATCGATTAGAGCCAGTGCCCTCTTCATGGCTTCCGTGTCCTTTACAGAAAAAGAAGAAAATAGAAGATTATCCTCATAGACAACTAACAAATCCCGGTGTTGGTGCAATTTATGATACAAAACGCTTCTTGGTTCACAGGCAGTTCTCTCCCTTGATAAGCAACTCATGGAATTATCAATATCAGAGCCATTTCTGTTACTCAAAAGACACAAGGTAGAGCATGCACTCTGTAAGGCTTTAGTTGTGATCCACTGTTTTCCAAGCACAGGACACTCAGAGAAAAAGAAATGAAGAAGGCATTCAGAACAAATGTTAAATCTTTACCCTCACAAAATAGAATAATAGCCATACAGAACACCCCATGCATACTTCTCTCCATGAGAGGTGAGAGTATTATTATTTATTGGTATCTAATGCATTAAAAAAAGGGAGGGAGCCAATTTGCCAATCACCACCGCACCACATAACACTCAAAATCCAAAGCAGATATCCAGGTCAGTTCTTCAAACTTTACATGATGCCAGAAGATGGAATTTGGAGAGTGGAAGACTTAAAATGAGATGTAAAATAGTTCATTTACCTGTTTTACCCTCTGCATTTTAAAAGGAAGTTCCTAAACCACTTGATTTAACAACCAGAAATAGGAGAGATTGATTGCTTAGAGTCCCATGTGTGCCCATCTCATATAATGGGACAATGAGGGGTTAGCAAAGTCAGACATTGATACAACAACACATAAAATGGATAAAAACACGTCAGAAATTAAAAAAAGAAAAATGGCCAAATGATGTTAGGAAGCATTTTCTGTTTAGAAGATTCAGGACAAAGAACACCCCATAACTCTCCCTTGACAAGCAAGCCAAGATTATACGTCCTGTAATCCTCACCATGCAGAATCTAGCCCTTTTAAAAAGTTTGCTTGCTAGTCGGGACCTTTGAGGTCTGGGAGGTCCTGGGCTGTAGGAGGAGCGAGAGAACCGATTAGGTGTTCAGAGGTGTATACCTCCGCTAAGGGGTCTCCCATTCACCCGTCTCATTTTGGAGTCCAGACAGGTGCCACTTCCACACAGTGAGAGCAGAGCAGGGAGGAGACAACCCTTTCCTCAAAGAAGCAGATCCCACTGCACGGACCCCATTGCAGGTCACCTTCCAGGCAGCTTTGATCAACCAAGAGAGACCCTGTTGAACAGCCGGCTGAGCTGCCCACGAGCTCAGGAGTTACCGCTGTAACCCCTACAATAGTCTGCCTTGTTTGCAGACCAACTCCAAGTAAATCCAAACATGTACATGCCAAGGGCAGGAAACCGGGAGTCTAGGCAGTTCAAATGAATATAGGTTTATCGTATGCTAACGCTCTCTACAAGAATCTGAACTACTAACAGTCAGAGCAAACAGGCGGTAGATAAGAGCCAACGGAATTCAAGTTGGGCTGGACTGAGAGCTCTGGTGGGCGCGAAGGTACTTGAGGCTGATGACGCGCTTGGCCTCCCTCCCTCAGGCTCAGTCTGATCAACTCCTACAATATACATGTACGTGTACAGACAGAACCTTTATTTTGGTCAGTGACCAATAAAAGTGTATACATACAGTATAAAAATGATCTTTTTGTAGACTTATGGCGCTGTCACAAACAGATGCATGTATTAAACGTTGCATTTGGAGGTATGGTGAGATAGGAGGGGATCTAATTCGATTTATGTAATTTATGCCTCATAGCCCATTTCGCCATGTCCCTAAACACAACATTTGATATGCATCTGTTTGTGACAACATCTACAAAAGGGTCATTTCTCCCTTCTCATGAAGTTGAAATTACAAAGAACCGTTGCCCAAGCATGCCTGAAGCGTCCCTCACATCGACCGTGTCCCCTGAAGGAAAAGTTGGGCGAAACGTCACCCCAGAGAACGGGATGCTCGTCAGGCCCAGGCGGAAGGAGCTGAGGGTCTGGGGGTCTGGCACAGCCCCTGCAGCCCAGTCTGGGTTTCCCCATCTTGCAAAATTCAAGGCCGGCGGTCGTTCCTCGGAAACAGCCCTGTCACACAGCAAGACTCTCAATCGCTTGAAATACTCCGCCTTTAAAGGTGAGTACAGGTAGTCCTTGACCTATGACTACAATTGAGCCCAACATTTCTGCTGCTAAGCAAGACAGTCGTTAAGTGAGCTGCAGCCCATTTTGCAACCCTTTTTGCCTCGGTTGTGAAGAGAATTAGTGTGGTTGTTGAGCAAAACCAGCTTCCCCCACTGACTTCGCTTGCCAGAAACCAACTGCGAAGGTCACAAAGGGTGATCACACAACCCCAGGACGCTGTAGCCGTCGTAAATATAATATTCAGTTGCCAAGCGCCTGAATATTGATCACAAGACCATGCGGGGGGGGGGACTGCAACGGTTATAAGTGTGAAAAACGGTCATCTTTTTTCAGTTCTGGTGTAACTGGAGTAACCTCATGAATTGTTGTTTAAGTCAAGGACTACCCGAAGTGTAGCACAAGAAACCACACAACACACAGCACAGCACCCTTGAGTCATGCTGTTCTGTTTTAGTAGAAAAGGCAGCAGTTGCGGGTTGAGGAAGAGATCTTACCTTCTAAAAGGGGAGGGGGGAGGGGAAAGGAGAAAATTAAGGAGAAAGATATATAGATATATATGTATATACCGGTATTTATAAGTAGTAGTTCTAAGAAAGAAATTATCAATAATAGTGGGCTAATCTGCTTTCAGTCCCAAACGATAATGAGGCACCCTCTGCAGAAGCTGACCCACAATCACAGTTCTGCCTTCCATCAATCTCAGTGATTCGTAAGCCAGAATTCAATTCCATTTCACAGATTCGTGGTTTAGTGCAAAGATTTGGGGAAGAGAGCTCCAAGGAAGCATTGCTAAATTCTGTGGGCCTAAGCGTGCTTAAATCAAAGTGATGTTTTTTAAAAATCCTAGTTTACAGGAGATACAATATTGACACACCCAGTCACAAAGCTGCAGAATCGAAACCAAATGTTGATTTATTCCTTTTCCCAGCAGAGCAGAAGAAAAGGGCTGAGTTCTTGAGGTCAACCCCTCCCACAGGATCTTCCTGCTAAAACATAGTTTGTCCCTACATGGGAACTCCATCAATAAGAGCAGTGGATAGACGGGCACAGCTTGTGAGATGCTTGACAGTTCTGTGGTTCCCAACCCATTAAAGTCATTAAAAGTCTCTGCAAACTGCAATTTTCTCCCTGAAGCCAACATGTTTGCAATGGTCCACTGGCTGGAAATTTGCAGCTTTTCAACCAAAATCAAAAATTCAGTTTTAACCAGTTTAGGTCTCAAGTTATAAATCTGTGGGCATTTAAGTACCCATCTCAAAACTTAACTCCAGGAAGGAAGACCTTGTCAATCATTTTAGGATGTGGGAACTTCAACTTTCAAGATGACCTTGGGATGTCCCAAGTCCACACATCTGAAAATGGGTGAGGTCTAAAAACACCCGCTTTAGAGAAACATTCAGATTGTGATACTTTATTTGCCTATTGGGGCTTTTCCCTACCAAGAGATGCAATTTTAAAACAAATAGCAATCCAATTTGTTTGATCCATTATAGGAAATCCGCAGAACAGTTTTAAAATATTCTCACTATATTTAATATTCTGCTAATGAAGGAACTGCATTACCTTAAAGGTAAAATCATATAACCAACTTAACTAACATCACCTTGTAAATCAGTACTTGGTTTTTTTTTTCAAGATATGGGTTCAGATTCTTACCTGTCTAATCCTAGATCTCTCTCAAACTACGCAGGACACCCACCTTGCTGGCCCAAGCATCTTCATCCCAGGAAGTCAGCTGCAATACACGGATTATTTCATTTATTTCTGTACTCATCTTCTCCACTGTAAATTTGCGGTTTTTCAAGGCTTCCTCAATTCCCTGGTTCTGAGAGTTCTTAGTTGTTACAAAAATCTTCATTGCTGCAGAAATTACACAGAGGGTCAAACAATAACAGGAAGATGCGCTGGGAAATGTTCTTTTACATAAACGTGGGCAGCATAAAGGATGATACCCTATATAGCCACATCCCCAAATTGATTATAACAATAGCATCTGATATAAACTTAAGGAAAGAAAAGTGAACAGAAAGAAAAAAACAAGAAAAAGGCTTAGAAAGCATAAAAAGACAGACATAAGGAAATAAATTCCAACCTTCATCACAACAATTTAAACAATTGTAGTTATTCTTCACACCCCCCCCAGAAGTTACATTTTTCTCTTTACCCCACATCCCGTATTTGTTTATCTATAACCAAATCCATAAATCTTTTTTTCAGTGCTGATGTCAACAGAAAGCCCAAAAAGGGTAGCCAGAAGTAACAACATACCTTGTTTTAACCCTGATCAAATAAACCATATTTATATCTTTTTCTTTTACTTCTAACAGACTTAATCTATAGTTCATTCAGATATTGTTGTAGGATTTATCTTAATTTCTTCTTTGTCCTATGGCAGAGTTCTTCAAGGCTTTAACAAGCCTCTTTTGTAAATTCAATAGGAAAAAATATATCCAGGTCACTCTCTGAGTTTTTCATTTCTATTTCCCTTTTAAATTTTAAAATCTCAGCAGTTTCTTTGGTAGACCCAGTGAAATATCCTTTTCTAAATCATTATCTTGGCTTGTCAGTTGTAAACCCACTTTTGATATCATTTCTACCTTGTCAGATAAAACTTGTTTTACATCTGACATTTCTTCAAAAACATCTTTTGGACATAGTCTATCCATAGAAGCAACATCGTCATTGATATTGTTGATATTGGAAGCTATGACTTCTGGAATTCCACTCTTCAAACGTCTTTAAAAAATGCTTGTGCAATTCACTTTTGCAGATTTTTTGGGGAAATAATCAGAAGGAGCAGTTTTTTTCCTAGTCAAGATTTAAAGTACAGACCGTCGGTATTAAGTAACATTTCCTTTCTTAATCACAATTATTGTTATTGTTTGAGCTAAATGTTTGTGCTTTTCAACTTGATCCAAAATCTTGATCCAAAATCAAACAGAAGCAAGATCAGTCTGATCTGAACTGCCGTGCCCACTCAAGGTAAGCATCACAAATATAACAACATATAAATAGACCCCCCCCCCGTTCATGTCTCAGGAAGCCCAGCTTCCAGAACATAAATAGGAGATATGTAGGCTATGTCAGCTGAGAACTTCCCCACCCCACCAAGACAGCCACAAATAAAACCACAGATTTAATTCCACCATAGGTTTATCAGACATACAAGAAGAATCTATTTCTGAGCTTCTTTCACTATGCATATTCCTTTGCTTCACACATTTATGGCGTCTGTCTTCACGCAATCCCGTGCTTGTTTTGACGGAGGGTTACCTGAAATGAGAACTGGGAGGAGGTCCTTCACGGTGTTCATGGAGTTGACCAGCATGACTCGGTGCTCCTGGTGAGTCAGCTCTTGCTGTCGTTCGTCAATCATCTTGGCCATCTTTGTCATTCCTACATCAGAAAAGGAAAGAGGTTGTCTTCAAGAAGCAACATTTTGCAATTTCAGGCAAGAGCAAATTACATTAAAAATAACAACCGAAAATGCAGCTTCTTTTCGGTGAAAGTTGTCACTGTTGATTAGGAAACAAATCTAAAACTGCACGTACTCCAATTTTGCCAGGTTCGTCCATTTGAAAAAAGAGTACTAAAACATGAGAACTGTTAATGTTTTGAATTATAGTCAAAATAGCCCTCCCCCATGGTAAATCAATGGGACACTTGGCAATATATGGCCCTTTTAGGCTTTTAATTAATTGCCTGTTTAAGGAAAGCAACGTAAACAGAAGCAGCTGGCTGGTGAGGGACCCGTTTCAATGGCCCCAAACTCCAAGGCCATCAGATCTCCCTGCACATTCGGAGCTGACTGTATCCTGCGACATAATGAATCGGTGAAAGGCTGGCATCTCAGGAAGACCCAGGAAGTCCATAAACACTCATTTGACCTCTGCTGTTCCCTGACTCTCTGCCCTTAAGCAAGTTATTCTCCATTGGCACTGATTTTCCTACAGCCCCGCTGCACACATAACGATAAAAATTACTTCCATTAAGCTCATCCAGTATTTTTCCCCCCTTCCCTTCAGGTGTGTCCAATTCTCAGGGACTGCCTGGCCAAGTCCCTGCACTTTTCTGGGGGTCATTTTTCAGAAGTGGGTTGCCACTGCCTCCTTCCTCGGGCTGAGAGACAGTGACTGGCCCCAAGGTCACCCATCTGGCTCCTGCTCCAGGTCTTCCAGTTTCTAGCCTGATGCCTTAACCACTACACCATACTATTACTCCATAGAGCTGCTACGATAGAAGGAGATGCTGGATTTTATTGTTTTAAATGAGATGGTTTTTGTGCTTGTATACCTGTGAACAAAACACTGTTCCAGTAAAACATTTTCACAGCAGGTATGTTTCTTTGCTTATTGCACAAACAATACGGTCGGTATACAACAAAAGCAAAAATAAAAAAAATAAGCACACTATGTTTTTTTTTTTAAAAAAAAAAACAACCCAATATACAACATGGCAACCAAGCAGAAGAATTAAACAACCCAACGGGGGTGTCCTTCAACTGGACCCAAAGGCTTGGAGAAAAAGCTGGGGCCTGACTTGCAAAGTCTCGCAGGAGTTGACTTGAGTGTCACAAGGCAGAGCATGGCTGGCTAGGGAATTCTGGGAGTTGAAGTCCACAAGTCTTAAAGGGGCCAAGTTTGAGGAGCCCTGTTCTAGAAGGTTCTGGATGAAGACAACACCCCAGTCCCAGGAAGGGGAAGAACCAGAGACCTCCGAGGGCCCCCTAACCTGGTCCCAGGTTCTTCGTGTAGGTCACCAAGTCTTCCATGGTCTCCACCACTTCAGCCACGGTGAGGTATTCCAGAATCCCTTTGCAGACACGGATGATCTTACGGACCTGAAAGAAAATGAAGGCAGCCGTGAACTGACTGAGGGGGTTCTTTTTTTCTTTCGCTACCAGCCAATCGCTTTAAATGGAAAGAGGAATAAGAGGCAGCTTGCACGGTTAGCAGTCAGTCATTCAAACACTTAGCAAGAAGACCACAAACGATTGGGTTTCTACAATACGTTCAGCCATAAATGGTAGTTAAAAGCAACCATGGTTTGTTGCATGCAAGTCCAAACTATGTGATGGCTTCATGGGCAGTGTGAACCCAATCTAGCTCTGCCTTCAGCCAGGTGCCCGTCTCCAGGTGAACATTCAGACGTTCCCATTCTACCAAAGAGCACAAAAAAACGCTGCAAGCGGGCAGGTTTGTTTCCTGTTCCCTGAGGTGGTGAATGTACGTAACTTTTAAAAAGGCAGATTTGAGAATATACTACCCGATTTCAGTGCTTTCCAGAAATTAGCTTGTGGTGAAGGCACCGGGCTGGAAGGTGGGAGACCCTGAGTTCAAGTCCTCCCTCAGCCATGAAAGCCCGCTGGGTGATTTTTTGAGCCCGTCATTCTCCCTCAACCCAGCCCACTCAGCCCATCTAAGGCAGGGATGAGCCTTCCAGTCGTTTCCCCAAATTAGATCATAAAGCATGGAAAGGGAGGGCTGGAAGGACCCCAGAGGCCTTCTAGTCCAGCTCCCGATCAAGGCCGGGGCCCGCATAATTCCCCGCTTCCCACACACCGATGCATCTTACGGTCATCAGAGAACCCACCTCGGCTTCATCGAATGTCAGAAGCAAGTCCGACGTCCCTGAGAGGATCCCTCGGGACCCATCGATCAGGTAATCACGAGCAGGGACTGAGTAAGGATCCGTCTGGAGCATCTGAGCTGCCTGGACAAGCTTCGTGCACGCATTTTCCACTCTGTAAATAAGGATAATGAAACCAGGATTCATGTTGGCCCTGCCATCTCCAGGGTTACAGCTCAGCAATTTTGGTAGTCCTTGATTTGCGAACATTTGAACTTATGATGGAGCCCCCCACCCCCACCCCGTGGCTGGTTACAACCTGGATTTGGCGTTCCCAACAGCCGCACCCCCTCCCTCCCTCCCTCCCTCCCTCCGGAGTTGCTTGATTGTATTTGGGCATCAGCAACGGGACCACTCTGCCAGCCAATGGCAGCACCCCGTGGTCACATGACCGCAATTTGCAATGTTTTTTGCCAGAATCTGGTGTTTTCTTCCAGTATCTGACAAAAAAAAAAACCGCCCTTTATGGACATCGGTCTCTCTTAATGACTGCGGCATTTGCTTTACAACCGCCATGTTCGCTTAATGACAGCCACAAAAACGGCTGTAAAGTCAGACAACTTATGGCTGTGATTCTGGGCTCAATTACAGTCAACAACCTGTATCTCTCCTTGAAAGCCTCTCTCTCTCTTATGCAGCGCAATTATTATTTTGTGCAAGGATGCACCACATTTTGGAGCTGGCAGATATATTTGGAACTGCGGCAATGGACAGGAAGCAAGAGAGAGACTCCTTGCAAATAAGCTCCAATACCTTCAAAATCATCTACTGCTTCGTCCACATTTGACAATATTGCATTTCCCCCACCTGTTGTTTCAGAAAGAGCACTTAGATCTCCTGCCTTATTTGGGCTGAATCTTCTCACAGAACAGTCAGCACTTTGACCCATACAAGTTTGGAATTTGTTATTGCTGGCATTTCTATTTTGTGTGTCTGTGTGTGTTACTTTCCAAAACCATGTAGCCCATTTGATTGTTAGTCATCTTGAGCCAACAACTGCTTGCCTGAAAACATTCTAACTACCCAATATGAAGAATTATCTGTCTGCTTCTATTTAAATAATGCCTGTGATATCATTAAACTCTATTTATTCACAGCTAATTTTCACAGGCAATGATCCAATCATAATCCATTTCCTGCCACCCTAATCTAAGCATAAAGCCAAGAACCACGTTATGTTAGAGCCGTGGCCAACCCGATTATAAATCCATGGATTTTAGTGAACAAAACGGATATTCTGGACAGATGACCTTTACTCACAGCAGAATGCTCAACACGCAGGCTAAGTTGTAACACAGATGAGGAAGCAACACCATATTTACAAGCCAAATTTAGCAAAAGATTAGATTCACTTGGCTGTCTTTAGAGACGAGCCAAGGATCTTATAAATACCCCTAAAGCAATACTTGCCAGGCGCATCTGTATCCTTTCCAGTTTTTTCCTTAAGCACTTTTCTAATCTAAAATACAGAACTTCATCAACCGTGAATCCACTGCCGACCTGTTACATTGGCCCAGCCTCGGAAGCCGAAGGACCCTGGCTGGCTCTCCCTGTTGGGCCGCTGCTTCGACCCCCGGAAGGCCGGGTGGCCGCTTGGGACAAGAAACTGCCGTGGCCTTGGATCCAACTGCCCCTACGCAAGACCTCTCACGGATCCCTTCTTTCTCTGCGGTTCACAGAAGGATGGAAGGCAAGGAAACAAGAGGAGAGAGGTTGAGCATGCCACTGGCCCTCAACAAGGGACAAACAGAGGCTAGAGCTGCTGTCAGAGGCTACTTCGTGGTGGCAAGGGTTCCAAAGCTACCCTCCTTCTCCACCCTTACTGCCCCTGCAGACAGCCATCCGCAGCCTTGTTTCACAGGACAGGGGCCCTCTTGGCAGAGACCCTCCTCAAAGGCTCTGCAGAAGGATTTGCTCAAGACCCAACCATTTTTTTCAAAATCATTCTCCCTTGCTGGAGATGCCCAGGGCACATTCTTGCCCAGTTATATGGGTTCGTTTTGAACTCACTGCAGCTGAGGAAGTGGACGGGGCCCTTAGGACCACGAGCTCAGCCACCTGCTTTTTAGATCCATGGCTCACCTGGGCTAGCGAAATCTGCCCCCCGGGGGTGTGTCATGCGGGTGGCTTCTGGCACTGTGGAATTCCTCCTTCAGTGGGGAGGACTTGCTCTTCCACTCCCTAAGGAAATTGTTGGTTCGCCCGTAATTTCAATGTTGTATGATGTTAGGTGACTTTTATCTGCAAACTGATGCTCTATAGCCCAAGCAAATCTAATAGTTTAATGATACAGCGATGGCAACATAAGCTAAATCCAAAGATTTGCAGACTCAGCAAAAGAGCCAGGTAGAAATCCAGATTGCTTGGTTTGATTAAGTTGTTCCCTTAGTAACTAACTCCAATGGCAGTGCACAAATTACGTGCAGTTGCAAGCAGACAGCAGCACCTTTTTTCTCTGCTTCGGCTTCTTTCAAAGATGCACATTTGGACCCGGGGCCCCTTTTTCCTGGAGGACACCACTCCAAAGGGGAATTTAGTCCCCTCCCCCAGTACCTCTGTACCAGCCAGGGAGGACTTCCATAGCTGGGTTAGGAAAGAGCCAGAGAGCAGGAGACTTAGAGATCTGAAAGGGATCTTGTACAGCTTCTCTTGTACAGTGGTCATCGGTTCTGCTCTTCAGGCATGCACAAAAGCTGTTTTACCAAGCTCAATCTGTATTAAAATATGCTTAATCTACATTACCGGGCACCTTGGCATGTCTGCCCTTGGCTATCAGAAATGCCAGGGGCAGAGGGGTCCACAAAAGCATCCACCACAACAACCTCAGCTGGATTGTGTCACCATGGTGAGGCCTCCCACCTCTTTTGTACACGCATGCAATGTCACGTCCCATGTACAAAAGGGACAGGGCAACGCACTGCAATTTCACAATGCTGCCTTGGACTAGGGGTGATGTAATTTTGGGCCAGGGCCAGCAGGCAGAAGGGCCAACTCTTTCTCCAGGCAATCCCAAGGTGACAATGCAGCTTCATAGTAAGGCTTCTGGATGCTGAACCATCATTATCTAAAGCCAGGAATACTTTTTTATGCCCTGGCCCCAAGTGGAAAAATGAAATTCCTAGTAAATATTCAGCCTACATGAGTCTCATCATTTTCAGCTAAAAATTCTGAACTTCAAATGAAAGCTTGGATCTAATCAGGGTGCAATGTAGTCGACTTCACGGAGAATTCTGATTATGGGTTTTTTTTTCTTCAGATTAAAAAACATTGCAAAATTAGACCCTGATATACTTTTGTGTATTTGGTTCATTCACAGCCCAAATATACCAATCTCTATGTATCTCCATCTGAAGGCCATTAATTTCTTCTCTTGAATTAGGAACTGATCTATCCAAGCCTATTCAACAATTTAGTCAGACACAAGGCAGAACTCCAAAGAGCAACGAAAATACTTAGCAGCAATTCTTTTCAACAAAAAGTGAATTATCATGAAAGTGATTAATAATGTGCCATCAAGATCTCAGCGGAGGACGCCATTATAATCAGAGCCGATGCATGAAGTTCATTACAGGTGCCATTAAATTCCAGGCATGAAATGAAATCCGAGTCACGCCAAGGACAAAGGTAGGGAAAAAGAACGGATAAAATATTACAGCCGTCTCCTCCATCTCATCCGTAGAAGAAGCGGATGTCTTAGAGAGAGAGAATGCTCAACTGTGGATGGACGGAAGAATGAAAGGTTGATGCTATGGCCTAAAAACACTCAGTAAAAATGGAAATCAGCCATGGATCCATCAATCATGGACTCTGAACCTACTGCTTCTCTCCTAAATCCTGAGGAGACATTACTACATTACTACACCTGACCCCAAGAAGTGGACTTTGATTTTATCTAGAATATTCCACAAAATATTACCCAACAACTTCTCTTTTTTCACCTGCATCCTTCCGCTCCCGGCCATCCCTCACTCAGAGAGGCAGGGTACAGCCTTTTCGAAAACCTAAAGCAGAACCTGAGGGAGAAACGCTCTCCGGCAGTTTTGACGACTGCTCTAGACTAGCCTTTCTCAACCTGGCCAACGTTGGCTTCCTGGCTGGGGAATTCTGGGAGTGTGAAGTCCGCACATCCTGAAGTTGAAAAGGTTGAGAAACACTGCTCTGGCCCAGGGCTTTCCCTGCCGCTTGGCTACCAGATCCTCTCCCACTGTGGTCCTGCACTCTGAAGAAGGTCTCCAGCCGTGCCATCTCCTCTACCCTTGCCTGAGCCACCATCGGTTGGACTGGTGGAAGCTTGATTGGATCAAGACGGCGATGAGCATCCTCTGTGCTCTATTCTGAATTAACCAGGTATCTGAGAAATTATCTAAAGTTGTAAAGAGCATCATTCTCAATCAGACTGTAAGGAGTGAACATGTACGGAAAGAGACAAAGTCTCTGGCAAACCGCATCCCTCAAGAGACGGCATTCACTCACGCAAGCCTTTTCTGGGAGTCTGAAGCAGCTCATCCTCCTAGGCTGTAAGCTTTCCTAAACTAATATAGATCAACTCTACTTACTTGATGAATGCTGGTGGCATATCTCTCTTCAAAATCTGGTCTTCAGTTGTCTGAACGGTTTCTTTTCCCACCTGCATGAGAAGAGATGCATTTGTGTCATTACCATCGGTACAAGTCGCATTTAGTACACTCAGAAATAGCTCTTCCAATTCCCAAGATTGAGATAGTATGGCAGAATTCCACCAAATAAAAACAAACGAGCTAGCGGTAGAACATAACTGCTGTCTTACTAGTATTATTAAAAATATTTCTATATCACTTTATTTATTTATTTGATGGTCTCTAGTCACCCAACCCCACCAAGTGACTCTGGGCAGTTTTCAATTTTAAAATTGTAAAACAAAGAAATATAAAAATACATTTAAAAAAATAAAAGCATCCACAAAAATAAATAAGTACAAACAGCAGCCATGATGATTAATCAACGATCACTTTTTGTTTGGGCAAGCCAACCAATGTGGTTCATAGCAGTCTTTAAAACACCATGCAGTGTACAAATCAGATGTTTGCTGTTCAGCAAATCATTGAAAAGTGCACGAAAGTAAGAAAGAATTTTATTTCATAGCTGTTGATTTAACAAAGTACAATAGAGTGAACAAACTTCCATTATGGAACGTTTTGCAGATATATTGTTTAACTCGGTTCTTCACTGGGATCAGAAAAGCACTTAATGGAAGCGAAAACATGCACAAGAATGGAAAACTAAGCAGATTGTTCAACTCTGAGCAAATTGTAAGACAAAGATAAGTGATGTACTCTTGGGTGTTTAATGGGTTCATAAGAAATATTTAAGATGATGTCAGAGATCTGTTTGTTGGGCATATGAATGTTAACACACTTTCTAGGCTGGTGATCTAAACTGTTGCCTGAAAACCCAGATGATTTGCAGTGAATATAAATAGGTTGCGTGATGAAACAAACTATATAAACACTAATCTGTTAGAGACCAAGGTGTCCAAGAGGGAAAAGGAATATAGATATATAAATATAAATAAATAGTGAGAAAGTAAAGCAAGCAGATGGATACGTTCATCTTGGTAGAATGTTTACTAATGGTTTACTAATGGGCTCAGTTGTGGTTGAGGACTACCTGCATATAGATATGCATGCATATTTTTAATAATCAAAACTGTTAAGTAAAGTTAAAAATTACAGGAATATAGGAAGTTAAAAATTTACTGTTGTAAAGGATTTCTCTCTATCGTCTTTGATGTTCAAACCATCCGTGGACCAGCTAAGTCAGGGGTCCTCAACCTTGGCAACTTGAAGACTTGTAGACTTCAACTCCCAGAATTCCTCAGCTGGCTGAGGAATTCTGGGAGTTGAAGTCCACAAGTCTTCAAGTTGCCAAGGTTGAGAACCCCTGAACTAAGTGATAAAGGAACACATGCCATTCATCCCAGCTAAGTACTTCATGAAAAGTCTATTTACTTATTTTATTCATTCATTCATTTTCTATAGCTGCCAACTCAACCAAGTAACTCTAGGCAGCTTATGGTCCTAAAATTAGACAGCAATTTTAAAAAAAACAATACAACAGTAAGAACATCCAGAACATGGATTATGAATATGCAAACCCCGTCACAGCTGTGCCGTCTGCATTCACACGAACTCCCCAGTTCAAGATCAGTTCAGTTTGCCCAGACCGGCCGGGGACCCGGAGTCAGTCACGTGCCTCGCCTGTTCCATTCAACCCAGAGCCCTGATTTAACAATAGCCTGATGGGTCAGATGGACAGAATGTTCTGCTCTCTATCAGCAAAGTCATCCTCAGATGTCTCTAGAAAGGTATCTGTGGCTCTGTTGGGAGGTACCTGGAATAGACTGGCATTCTGAATCGCATATGCACACCGTTTGTAGGCCTGTAGCGCTTGATGCAATATGTTTTTGCCCTTCTCCTTTCTTTCATTCTGGTCTTTTGCTAAAAATAAACTGCATGCAGGGATCACATTAGTATGCCATCTGCTTTCCAACCCATTGTCATCATTTATGTTAATGGTTTCCATCTTCCCGCAAGAGCTCCTGCGATTAAAAACCCCCACAATCTGCACCTGTCTCAAAAATCAATGTATTGCCAAAAGAAATGAATTTTAGAGCAGAAATAAAGGGGGAGTTTCAAAATAACAAGGTCGGATGATTTGGGGAAACAATCCAAAGAAATGAACTTCAGTCAGCCTTTGACCAGCAAAGAATGAGCTTTTGACTCTCAAATTTATATTCTGATTCCTGAAATAGATCAGACATCTGGCTGTGTGTTACCAGAATAGCCCTCTTGAATATATTGTGCTCCACGAAAGGAAGGCCTCAACAGCCGTGCTAACTTCTTACTAAGCAGGACGAAAATGCCATAACACAACTGCAGACAGCTTACTACTTGCAAAAAGAAAAATGCCTCCAAAGCAATCCTGAGAAGAAACATCCACATAGCTGTTATCCAAACTTTTGAAAAACACTTTTTTTTACAAACTGTTTGTGCCTACAAAAACTTAAAAGAAAATCATTTTGCGTTTTACAAATACTCAGAACGTTAAAATCCATCCCTTACCTTTCATAACGGTTGACATTGCATGAGCTGAGTATATGATTTATGGGATGGGAAGAGATGGGAAAGAAGGAAGGAAGGAAGGAAGGAAGGAAGGAAGAAAGGAAGGAAGGAAAGAAGAGAGGGAGGGAGGGAGAGAGGGAGAAAGAAAGAAAGAAAGAAAGAAAGAAAGAAAGAAAGAAAGAAAGAAAGAAAGAAAGAGAAAAGGAAAAGATTTTAAAGGGTCAGCACATCTGTGACCAAAAACATTCCCATGCAGATCTTGAAAGGCTGGGCTCTTCCAGCCTCCTCTGCCCTCTGCCAAGGCGCCCATCCGAGCACAAAGGCCCCCACTGTTGGGCAGATGTGAGCTCCCTTGGCGCCCTGGGCTGAGCCGAAAGGGCTCACTCTGTGGAGGAGGAAATGACGCCAGAATCATACTCAAGACTGACTGCAGCCCATTCATCGGGACGAGGGAGCCGGGTCTGGTCCCAAGAAGAAACCGAGCGGCAAACACAAAGAGCAGCTGCAACGTCTCCAGACACTTCAGACAAAGTCGAGAGAATCTGAAAACGGGCCAAGCGGGCACGGCCCGGGCTGAGATATTGCGAACGCTTCTCTTTGCTTCTAAAGCAGGAGCAGGTCCGAGGAACTGCTTCCTCTGGAAACGGCACCTTTGCTTCCATTTTGGGAAGACAAAGCCTCCCGGCAAGAGGAGACGGGCAGCGCCTCTGGATAGCTCTCGGTCAGATCCTGAGAGAGGCTGAAGGAAGCGGAAAAGGAAGACACACAGCCTCCAGAGGTGCTCCTGAGCGTGGAGGTCCCTGGGCGGCCAGAGCGGCTCCCTCCTCTCCAAAGGGAGCAAGTGACCGCTAGGCAGGGATGGTGTCATCCCAGCACCAAGACTGTCCAGATCCACTCCAGAAGGAGATCAGGCTTCAGCTTCACTGAGATTAGCCATTACATATTGACCAAATCTTGCAAACCTGACGGTGGCTTTTTCCTCTTTTCCCTCTCACACCTCAGTGAATCCAGGAGAAGCCAGCCCGGGCCTCTTCCTCATCCCATCTCCTTTCCTGGGGCTTCAGGAATGTTTCCGCCCTTCTGAATGTTGCCCTCAAGGCCGTCTCCATGGGGACATAAGAGGAGTCCAATTGTCCCAGTCTCTGGACTGTTCCTCTCGGGATTCCCGGGCAGTTCTAGGATGCTGTCAGGTCCCAAACGGTTCCCTATTTTACTTACCTCCCTTCCGTCCTTCCATCTTTGGGACCTGCCATCCTGTTGCGGGAGGGGGGCAGCCCAGCATTCCTTGCACATTTGTATTTGCTCGCCAGTTCTGTCTCCTTTTCCCGATTGCCGTGGGGAGGGTATGGTAGGTCTCCCAATCGCGATGAGCCAGAGGGCAGCAAAGCCAAGAAGTCTCACGCCACAAAAGCGATGGCTGATCGCCCTGAGACGCCAGCTGACTGGATACAATTCAAATCCCCGCGCAGCTTTGGTGGAAGGGGTTTACAGCTTGGGTGACTATACAGTATGGTGTTAGCGAGCTTTTACCTCAGACCTCACCTTGATCCCCCACTGTTACTGACCCCCCCCCCAAATAAAAGAATCCTGTCTGAAGCAGTGATTGCCTCAAGAGTTCGAATTCTTGGGAGGGCAGCTGAAGTGGGTCCTTACAGATGCTTTGCAACCAGGTGTGGCCTCCTCCTCCCCCCTCTGGGAATGGGTCCTATTTCGAGTCGAAGCAATGAAAGCTGCCGGACAGCCCTACCCTGACTTCCATGAACGAGACATGAATTATTAAAAGAGCTTATTGGAACAATACCTCTTTTTTAAAGAGGTTTGCATTATTAAAAAAATAAGAGTATTTTATAGGAGGCGGAAGAGCCTTCACAAAGCAAAGTATTGTTGTTTTCACAGAGATTCTGCCTTTATTTTCTCAGAAGGAAGTTTCACTGAATGAAAAAAGAGCTTACTTCTACAGACTATTGTTTCATAAATAAAACATGCAACAAAGAAGCAAAGCTCGCCATCCCTGAATAAAGGGCCATTATACAGCAGACTTTCCTGCCCCCTCATTGTCAACAGCAATTTTCATTTCTTTATTTTATAACATAGGGGTATAAAACTTGAAAGTTTGCATTTGAGGGGTAAGCTCTAACCCAGGAAGAAGGAATGTCCAGCTCTCCACGTAGCTCCTGGGATGCTAATTCTGCAAGAGGTTGAAGATCGCATGATCCCCACACCGTCCAAAGTGAGACCGAGCTAAAAGGACAGACAGGAATTTCTGCTCCGGAGCTGCCTTCACTTCAGACACGGCTTAATTCGGCATGCCCCCCCCCCCCACAAGGCCAGTTCCTCCATTAAGCAAAGCAAAACTGCCACTCCAGAGTTTTTCAGTTTTTCAAACTAATAGGTGTGCCTTCAATAAAATTATCTCTGTAAGCTCAATGAAAGAGTCGGATATTTCAGGAAAGCCAAAGCCAAGTTATTGATCATTTCAATCCGATCTGAAGAGCTGCTATAGAAAGGCCTAGAAAAGATGGAGCCGATTTAAAGTTGGCTCTTAGAAATGACCGCCTAGGAAGGCTAGTTAGAAAACGTAATCCCTCCCAAGGCGTCGCCCTCTTGGCAACTGTAGTGACACACAGGATTCTTCCCATAAAATTGTGCGGCATGCCTAGGAGCCCCACAGGAGGCATCTGCAGAGGTTCGTCCTCCTGGATCTGGCCACTTGGTCGATCCGCACAAACTTTCCAGGCCTCTCAAAAAGTCATGTCGGTGGAAGAACTCTGCCCCAGAAGACAGCCGTCTAGAAGCAACTCTGAAAGCACTGCTCAACCAACAAGTTATCAACCACAAACACCACAAACTGCTTTGTCAACCACTAGGCTGCCAGTTTCCCTCAGTGGGCTAATTTCAAATCAGTGAAATCATTTCTATCTTATTTCCTGACTTGAAGTCATGTCCTCACCAGGTCGTGAAGTGGGGGGGGAGGAGTATATAAATGCGTAATTAATGTACATCTCACACACACACACACACACACACACGTACATAAATAATGTGTGGGGGGGAGAAGTATATAAGTAATGCTTTCTGCCACACTAGTTTGAAGACTGAGGCAATGAAGGAGAAATTGAATGACCATCAGTGAGCCCAGAATCAGGGTTTTAAAACATGCCAGTTGTTATGTGGGCCACCATGTGTGACCATGCCAATGTTATGACCTTTTTGCAGAAATGGTTAAGCTGAGCCACTACCTGTAATTAAACAGCAAATATAATCACTGACTGGAAGGCGAAGCCAAATAGTCAATGAGCACCTCCATTTTACACATCCAGACATTTTAATTAAGGTTCTACATTTGTCATGACATCCAAACTCTGAAATGGCCAACATTTTTGGTTTGCGCATACCAGACTATCAGAATCCTGATACAAAAAAGATACACCTGTTCATCACAAAGCACAATTTGCACAAACTCAAAATAGTGACCAATCTGAGGTTGGGCAACGTAATAAGCCTACGCCTTAGTTTGCAATATTTTGTTAGTGTCACAAAATTGGACTTTTCCAAATGCCTGTCACCAGATTTCCCCAACTGTCCTTCTGATTAAAACCCCCGTATCTTGTTAATTTCTCCTAAATTAAAGGCTTCTATCCTGATCGTTTTTGCAGTTTAAAATTATAGACTATGGGTGGGGAAAACCATTCTCCAGAATATTTGAGAGGCTAGCACTGATTTTTGTTTTCCCAATAATTCCATGGTGAAAGCCAGTTTGATACAGTGGTTAAGGCTAGAAATCAGGATACCCCGAGTTCTAGTCCTGCCTTAGGCTCAAAACTGGCTGGGTGACGTTGGGCCAGTCACCCTCTCTCAGCCCTTGGAATGAGTCAATGGCAATCCACTACCAAAATCTTCCCAAGAAAACCACAAAGGCTGGTCTAGGCAGTCACCAGGAGTCAATCAAGACTCAAAGGCAGACACCCCCCAAAATCCATGGTGAAACATCAACATCCAGCTAGAAATCAACATCCAACTAGCAGCAGCCATCAACAATGTAATCAAAAGTGACAATGATGGGCAAGGAGAAAACCCCAAATCTTTGGTGCCTATCAAGCTCTGTTTTTATATGGTTTAATCTAAACAAAAAAGAAAACATGCTGAAGAGTAAAATATCAGCTTCATGAAAAAGAATTCTCTTTGTTGTGGTTGTAGATACAAAACTCAGTAATATAAGACCGTTTACATCAATATAGATGTGCAAATCATAAAATTAACTGGACTATCTACTTCACATGTAGCAAGAAACAAGGAAACAAAGTCATACAAATCTGAAAATAAAAAATAGTAAATTAAAACTGCTCAAAATGACTGGGAAATGTATTTAAATGCGAGGTTATCAACTCTGAATATGTGTTAACATAAAAGGAGTAATGTAACAAAACATGTTTTACAGTTTCAACCGTTCTACCAAATGTCAAGCATGTTTGCAACAAAACCTCTGGCCATAGGAGCAATATTAGGAAGTAAGAAATAGAACCAAATAAAACTTAGAAAAATTAAAATTTAGAAAAACGACTGGCTGAAACCCAGAGCGTCATTTATCCTCTGGCAGGTCTGTGGGAAACAGCCACATCAACCGTGGGAGCCCATTTTGTGAGAGTTTCCATCATAAGCTCCCAAATATGGCCCTTGAGCAGATCAAAGACCGCTTATTTCACAAAGCCAGGGAAAACATGAATGACGGAGACAGCATAGTTAACAAAACTACCCCGATACCAGGGCAGAAATCATAACTCCTGTATCATCGAGATGGGACAGATGTAAAAGCAGATTAAGGCAACACAAGCGTGCAGACAAGGAAATTATTAGAATTTTGCCAACAGCATTCAAATTCATAGCCTTGGGTCAATTAAAATCTTTGACTTTCCGGACAAAAAAGACTGGGAAACTCCCTTATAATTATTTTTAACCTCCAGATATTGCCAGTTCACTCCCTCTACAAGAGCTATCCTAAAATGGACACGGGTTAAAAATATCTGCTAGCTGGACTGGGCTGGAGATTGTTGGGGTTTCATAAAGTGGAAAAGCTTTTGAGGAACATCTTATAAAATTCCTGTGGAGAACACAAAACCCTTTTCAGATAAAACTGCCTTTTTGTCTGCCTGGCTCTCCAGCCACCTCTGCCTGCTGGGCGGGGGGGGGGGGGGGAGGGAGGGCTGGATGCAAGAGCGGAAGCTCAAGTCCAGAGGAGCTGGCCGGGGAGTGTCAGACTTCACAGACTCCAGAGAACCAACACCAGCAGCTCCACGGGGCAGCTTGTTTTCCTTTGCAAGCAGCAGCCAAGAAGTGGGGTCAGCCAGGAGAGGGGATAATGGGGAGCAGGCAGGGGACAAGAGACGCCTTCGCAGAGGGAAAGGGGCTCAGCCCAGTGGAAAAAGGGTGCAGGGCGACTTTCATTCTGTCACTGTTGCTGCCTGCATCATCTGGGCCCTCCCAGGGCTGTTTCTGCATCTTTTCAGCAGGCAGCAGAGTAATTCAGAATCTGGGGAGAAAGAGTTTTTTGATCTGAATTTCTTTCTTTTTTAAAGAAGTGACAGCAATTGGAGAGGGAGAAAACCCTTTGAAGAAACGGTTGAAATGGAAGTTAGGAAAATAGATGAATATATAATGCAGGAGTCAATATAGATGAGATGAAAAAAAATTCCTAGAAAGAGAGAAAATAACCTAGAGGTTGTTTTAATTAGCAGGCAGTAACACAAATGGGTTTGCAGAAAGTTCGGGGAAAGAAAGGAACGATAAAGGAAAAAAGGAGGCTGGGGAAGGCTACACAGGATCGGACTGAGTGAGTATTTGGATCTAGAGGACTTCTCAGGCAAGTCTGAGACACTGAAAAACTTTTGCACATGAAGGGTCAGCCCCACCAGGCAGACCAGGCCAGGAAGGTTAGGATCTCTTTTACTGAAACTGGCTAGAACTGCAGAATCTTTCTTGCTTGTCTGATTGTAGTGAATCCACCCCCCTTGAAGCAAGGGAGGTCTCTGCCAGAGCCGCTTCTGGATGCTGCCTGAACACTCTGGATTTTAAAAATGCTTTAGCCTTCTTGCCTGTGGGATCTCCACCAAGGTCATCTTCCTGGACCTCCACTCCCAGAATTCCCCAGCCAGCCCAGGACTCTACCCCTTGGGCACACGAACAGTCGCAAATCATTTCTGTCCTGCTGATGAAAAAAAAAAAAAAGCTCCAGCAGTTAACTGGGATCAGCAGGAGCCGAGTTAATTCCAAGAAGGAAAGCCTGACTTTCTCCAAGACTCCGCGCACAGCTCCACCACTGCGCCTGCATCCCAGGCAGAGTCTCGGAGAGGCCCAGAACCTCCGGTGAAGGGAGAGGGCCTTGGCACTCCGGAAACCCTCCGGCTGTGACAGAGCAGCCAGCGGGGCTTGGAGGAGGAAGAATGAGAGACAGGCAGGAGGAGCTTCTGGGAGAATGAAAAGGCCACCTGGACATTTTGGGAAGAGAGGGCTCATCCCGGGCTGGGTCCTCTCCTCCAAGAGAGCATAACCGAGAAGCAACAGATGGAAACTAATCCGGGAGAGAAGCAACCTAGAACTAAGGAGAAACTTCCTGACAGTGAAAACAATTAACCAGTGGAACCACCCGCCTCCAGAAGCCGTGAATGCTCCAACACTGGAAGTGTTTAAGAAGAGACTGGATGGCCATTTGTCTGAAATGGTCTAGGGTCTCCTGCCTGAGCAAGGGGTTGGACTAGATGACCTCCAACTCTGTTATTCTATCCTGTTCTATCCTCAGGCCAGCCTTGAATGCTCTTCCTTGGCGGTAAAACCCACCCATACCGGATCAGGAGGGTCTTACAAGCAGGGGAAAAGAAATGAATCGTTCTACTCGTCATGGCATTTTTGAAAAAAAAAAAAGGGGGGGGAGGAGGCAGCCCCCTTCCCGGGCAGGAGGCAGGGATCCCGGGAGGAGAGCTCGGCCAGTCACCGGAAGGCGTCCGATAAGGGGAAAAGCAAGGAAGGAAACTTGTCAGGAAGTTCCAAAAGGAGCCGCTTCTCGGCTGGGCGGGGCGGGGGGGGGAAAGGAGCCGGCTCTTCCGAGAACGGCCTGCTCCGGGCTGGGGGCGAAGCAAGAAGTTTTAACGGGGCTTCTTCGCTCGCGGTTGCACAGCCCGGTTCCGCCCCTCGCCTTTTCTGCCAACGCCCCCGAGCGTTGCAAAAGCAGCGGCCGCAGCGGGCCCGGGCCGCAGACCACAGCCGGGGGAGGGGGGTTCGCCGCAGGCAGCTTCGCCGAGGGGGGCGCCTTCTCGCTCCCACCGCTGCTGCCCCGCCGGCTGCTCGGAGCGGCCCCGGCCGCCACCTGGGAGGGGGGTCCCGCCCCTCCCGCCCCTCCGCTCACCCGGACCAGGTTGCTGACGGCGGCTTGCACGGCGGCCACCGGGGCGGTGAGGTCCGGGATGGCCTTGCCGTCCACCTCGCCCTCCTCGTGCATGATGACCAGGTGGGAGATCTGCTGGGCCACCGGCTCCAGGATGCTCTCGATCGTGCGCGTGTGGAAGACCGGCATGGCTGCAGAGAGTCCTCGCCTCCGCGGCGGCGCCGAAGAAAAAGGCCGGCAGCAACTTCGACGGCTGGCCCGCCGACCCGGGAGCGGCGCTCGGGGAAGCCCGGCGGACTCGGGGCGCGGGACGACCGCGAAGCGAGCTCGGGAGCTACTGCCGCCGCACCGGGACCCCGCGAGAGCCGCTCCTTCGCTCCGCAGCGCCGCTGACTCCGCGCCCCGTTCCGCAAAGCTCCCGCAGCCGCGGACTGAAGCCGCGCCCCCCCTTGCCGCGCCTCCGCCAATGACGGAGCGCCAGCCCTGCCCTGATTGGAGGAGCCCAGATTCCGACCCCTCCCCCTCCCTCCCGCCCCTACTCCTTTGGCCGCTGCCCCCCCGCCGGCCGTCCCGGGCTCCGCGTGACGTCAGGCATTCTGCAGTCCTTATAAGGCGCGGACGGGAGCCGGAGGGAGCCGCGGGCGGGGGAGGGTGCCAGGGAAGGGGCAGAGCCGCGCCTCGCTCCTCTCGGCCCTCCCCCTTCCCTGGAACTTCGGGCGGCGACTTTGGGGTCCCGCTGGCTGAGCGGATGCTGGGCACGGGCGTTGCGGGAGCCGCGGGCTCGTTCCCCCCCCCCGGGCCTTGGCCGCGTCTCCCTTGAGCTCCGTGGGGAGGGGGCTTCCCCAGCCGCGCCTCCCCTCCCCCTTCTCGGGGGTCTCCGCCGAGAAGCCCCCGAGGCGGCCGTATGGGCCACGGTGAGGGCAGGCCAAGGACCCCGCCGCCCGCCTCGTGCCCGCCCGTCTTCCCAAGTTGAGAATTGGGCGAAGGGACAAAGCGCACCCGAAGCCTGCGAGGGGGCGACACGGCCTTCCTTAACCGGGTCTCACAACCGGTGGGGCCGCTGCCAGCAGCCACGCAAGTCCGGATCTCCTGCCGCTTCCCCCGGACTTGTCCCCCGGCCGGTCACTCTTGTCCTGCGGCCACAGTCGGAGTATGAACAGGCCAACCGCAGCCGGCCAGGAATGATCAGTTTGCTGGTCTCTGCTTACAGTTAACAGAAAAGGGGCTTCAGTTAACGGTGGTGGGAAAGTGGGTCCCGCTGCCCGGGCCTTTCCCTGCTCCCGGACCGAGGACCTGGGCATCGGGGTCAACGGTTCTACTGCAGTTCCATTTGGGCTCGGCCGCTTTAATCATCAACATGCTGTGCTAAGCAGTATCGGCTGCGATGTGGGAGATCTCTTTGCCCCCCCCCCCCCAAGAGGCTTCACCACAAGGGACAGGCGCCCTATACCTCTTTCTTAGTCCACTGACCCCACCTGGGTGGTGCCTGCGTCCCCTCCATTGGAATGGGAAACGGTGGGGGGGGGAGATGTTTTAAATCCTCATTTCCAGACCAAGGGCCACCCGTTCAAATTGTCCAGCTAGCCTGTTAGTGCTTCCTCTATCCTTGTGCCCTGCAGATGACTTGGATCTCTACCCAGGCGGTCCAGGTCCTCTGGATCCACCCAGTCCTCCAGGTCAGCTACTTCAGACACTCCGCTCTGCCTGTTCTGACTGCTGGCTGTTCCTGAGCGGGAACACCAGGCAAGCACAAAGGAGACAACCGTATCTCTGCTCACAGACTCCCCCCAAGGACTCTGTGCTGGTCCAGAAGTGTCTCTGGCACTCTTTATGATTCCACAGTCCTGACTGGGCTCAGCAAATGAGCCAATTTACTTCCCCCTCAGCTGTGTGTCACTCAAGTTGCAGAAAAAGAGCCATTTTTGCTGTTCGTAACCGTCATGCTTTGCAGAGCTCAGAGCAATCTTCTACTCCACGGCGGGGAAATCTGGCCTCGCCCTTCCTGCTGGCTCCTGAGCAGGGCGGGTGATAGGAGCTCCTACCGACTGTTGAGATTTTAGTATAGAAAGAAAAATGATCCCTAGAAGGTAAGACCCTCCCTTATAATCTACAGGAACCAAGCAGCACCTACTGTTGCTCCCAGCTCCCTGTTGTGGTGATCTCCTTGCTCTCCATCACCTCATCTTGTGTGTGTCCTGTAAGAAAGGGAAGATGGGCCTGATGGTCCCTCCCCAGGGCTGCCCCAGACTGGCTCCAGGACTTTGCTAGCTGAAAGGAGTCTGCAGAACTGCAGGCGAAGGAGCCCTTCCGAAGGGCAGAGGGCCTGAGTGATGTCCTATAATCTTTGCTATTTGTGTCATTTGCATAATGGGTTCATGATACCATCATCTCATTGGGGCTTTGTCCATGGAGACCAAGGAGTCCTTCATACATGAGTCAGACTACAGAGTGCAAGTAAAGTTTGCTTTTTGAAGTGTAGAGCATAAAATACAAATAGAAGATAAGGGAATAGAGAAAGATAAGGAAGAGGATGGGGTGCAGGATAAAAGGAATGAAAAACAGTGACTTCCAACTGTTTTTGGTGCACTAGAAGACAAAATACATTTAACAATTGCATCTCTTCGCTTTGACTATTTGGTGAGTGTTAGCCATTTCTATAATAACAAAATTAATCTAATTGTCAAAACCTACAATCAAAGTTTCATTTTTTTCAGTTCCAAGCAAAAAGTCCAGATGTGGTTTTTAAGTGGAAACAAAACTGGATAAATTATTTTCTTTAATTAAAGTAGTTACTTTTGCTGTCTCTGCCGATTCCATCACTTTTTCCATCTGTCCTTCCATTGTGGAGATTGACGTGTCTTCCCACTTTTGCACGTGTAGAATTCTCACCACAGTCACCATCCTTTGGGTATGAGTCTACTGCAACTTTTTATTCTCCAAACCTCAAATCAGGGGTCATTATGTGGAAAGTGAAATTGTGGAAAGGGATCCTTACAGCTACATGTGCCAGCAGTTGTTAGGAAAGAGAATGGCTGGAGGGAAAGGCTATTTACGCTGTTCAAAAGTATAAATCTGCCTTCACCAAATCTTGAGCGTAACCAAACTATTGTCTGGCTATGATAAATTATACCCTCCCCCAAATACCTCCGATACTCCAACAGGAGACAAGCCAACAATCTCAGAATGTCAGGTTTTTCTACAAATTTACTTTTTTGTCTCAAGCATCTGACAGAGTTCATAATGGATATGAGCTCTTTTCAAAGAGAAATGCCTTGGGGGGGGGAGGTGTCATGACATTTGCAACATGCTTCAAAGACACCAGGATCCCCCCCATAACCAGGATTTATTTGGAACATGGAAATACTGGCTAATCCGAGAGCTTGATGGGCATAGTCAAGTACAAATCTACTTTGCTAGCATACATTCAGAACAAATCATGGTTTATAAGTACTATAAACACAGAGGGAAACATTTGTGACTTTACGAAAACGTCTTCAATTTCACAGGAGAAATGTGCCAACATCATTGTGAGGTTGTCACTTCAATCCTTTTGAAGCAGAATTTTTTTTAAGCTGAAATGTAAACAAAATTAATTTAAAAACCACCTTCTTAGTTTATCACATGAAGCAGTCTTATTCACACAGAGCTCATAAAAGTCTGCCTGACAAAACAGATTATTCTCTTGGACAGAAAAATAGTCATTCTGTATGATGTGAGGCTTGGGATGTTACTGTGAGGGTAAAATATGCAATTTATAAACAGGTTTGTAGGGCGGGTAGATCTATGTGCTTATTTCAATCTGAGCTGATATAATCCCTACATTTTCCCCAAATTCTTTATAGTTGTATTGCCTTTTGGAATTCAAAAAGCTTTTAAAAAATAGGGCAAACCTTTTTGTAAAATTAATTTGTCTTGCCTATATTCAAACATTTCCCTGAGTCCCTGTGTTTCTGTGCACTCAAATGTCCCTCTACGTGCATTTTACTGCTTTCGACAAAATGCCAATTTGGTTGTGGATCTGTTCTCTCAACATACAGAGCAAGGTCAGAGGGTGTCTGTGTTGTGGGAATATCAAAAGGGCGTTAATTCAGCCCCAATGAGTCCAACTTAACTCCAGTTGTGCATAACAAATACCATACCAAGAAACACAAAACTGACCGACAGGTGATTGCATTAGCCTGCAAATGCAGTGATTACACGCCTGCGTCATCCCATTAGGTGCAAATGTGTAAGTTGCAGCGTTTCTGTGATGACTTCACACCTTGCAGGTTGGCAGTTTCCTGACCTTCTGAAAAAGGGTCACTCCTCCTGATTCATACCCCAAAGTCCTGGGGAGGGGTTGTCTTACTTTGCCATTAAGCCAGGGGAAAATATACCCCAAAGAAAACCTTGAGGCAGGGCAGCCCTCTCCACGCAGGTCCTCCTTCAGGTGTGGTGACAGGGTGAACTTCCCAGCTCCCCGTGCTCCTCGTGGCCAGCCCCTTTTCCCTCTTCCCACCCTGGGGAGAATCGGTCATGGGGGATCGTCTTTGAGGTTGTTTCATGCCTCCCAGCTATTCTGCCCAAGCTAAGCCTCCCCTGCAGGGCCGGTGGGGAATAATCTGTCTCCAGACTTCCAAGCGTAAGCTCGGTGCGAGGGGGCAGGGAAAGGGACTGGCTTTCTTTGACCTATGCACTTACTCGTAATCCTGATTTTTACGCACAGCGCAATGAAAAGAATATTAATATAGTACATATTTAACTGGGAAGAATCTCCCATGCTTTCATAGAAGCAAAACTACAAATATTTGGTCTGTGGTTGAAAATTAAAATAGAAAGAGGAACTTGAATTTATCACCTCTTTTTATAGGCACAGGAAACCTGCCCACCCCAGTTAACGAAAGCCCCCTCCTGTCTTTCTTTCTCTTCTGGCTATGCATGTGTGCGCTCCCCACACCCATGCACACACATATTCCAGAAAGGGATGCGACCTGACACATTGCCTCAGATTCAAGAAAGAAGAGAATGGCCATTCCTGACTGTCCCAAGATATTTTGCTGCAGGAGCTGGACCACACACACAAACACACACTTTTCACTGCATGAGAGAAGTCAAGTCATTGTTGTACAAATGATTTGTACAGCCGCAAATCTTTACATTAAAGCAAACCTGAACTGGCAATGCTAAACTATCTCAACCTTGGATAGTTAGATGAGGGATGGGCAAAGCTTTTCTTCCTGGCCAAAATAAGAGGCCAACCAGCAGTGAAGGCGGCAGAAAGTTATCCTGGCATGAAATGTCTCGTCTTCATTGGTGATCTTCAACCTGACAGATGCACAACGCTAAAAACGATGTCTTCATTTAGGGTGAGCAGAGGAGGTTAAAGGCAGCGCTTGTGTTCTCCCTGCTTCTTTGCCCATCCCCCAAACCAACATTATCTGCCACAGCCAAACATC